GGGATAGGGCAGCTAAAATGCCTCATACAGGGGGTCCCTTGGGGCTAAAATCCCTCATAAATTACTATATAAGGAGGCCTCTGCCTGCCAGTTGTTTCCCTCCTTATCCCACTCAGTACACATTTTTGGTGGGACACCTGTCACAGATATTTATTACACAAGAGGTTCACAAGTAGTACAGTTCACAGTTGAAATATATACACAGTTTCACAAACATTACACAGAAGAGCCAGTCCTTTGTTCCAGTCCTGGTTGAAGCATAGTGCTCCCAGACCCTTTGGGTTCAAGAACCACCTCTATTACATTATACATATACAGTAGCAAGGCATCAAGACAAGAAACAACATCAACAACTCAATCAATTCTTTGGACAACAAGATCAATCTTCAACAATTATACAACCATCTTTGAACATAATCCATTATCACCAACCAAACTGCCAAGCTTACCTTGGTGGTCTTGTTTTCTGATAATATAGAAAGGCAGAGTTTGCAGCTCATTTCATCCCTTTCTCCATTCAGCAAAAAGGATCTTACAATCACTTTTTGAGTCTTACACCGGCTGGAAGGAAATCCTTCCGGCCGACAAGGTACATGCACCTCGTTGACTGGAAGGAAACCCTTCCAGCCTGCCATCTCCTCCTTCCGGCCTCGGGTATCCTTGGGGATACCCGGATATCCGCCGGGATTTCGCGGAAAAGGGGGCATCCGCACCCGAATCCGCATCCGCTGGCGGGTATCCGTTGACACTGGCGGGTATCTGCCAGCGGATAGCGGATATCCGCAACAGATTATCCCGGACCATCTCTATCTGTAGCATAGCATAAAGTACACTTCAAACTTTGCTTAATTTCCACATAGCACAGTGTAGAGAAAGTATACTAAATTGGGGTTAAATATAAACAAGCCTTTCAAGAAAACATTGAAACTTTGAAAGCCTTATTCTTCAGAATAATCTACATTTGAACTTGTAGAAAGAAATTACGGCACTTTGTCTGGAGTGTGGCAATTTCTACTAGTAATATTACTTAAAGGAATTCGATTAATTGCTGATAAACTAAAACCAGAACTTCTGAGAAAAAACAAAGAACAATTAGATAAGACCAGAACACAAGGAGATGAAGAAGGAGAGGATCAAAGAAGAGAGGCATATGATTGTACCGGATGACAAGAATAAGAGAGGACTATTCCAAGGAAGGATAACAGAAGGCAAGAAGTTCAAGATCTAAAAAGAAGAGAGACAGAGAAAAAAGAGAAGAGAAGAATTAGTTCTTTTGACAAAAAACACAGAAGAAGAAAAACAAGAGTGAGAGAGACAATAAGAAGAAAAGAAGAGAAACAAACAATAGAAGAATATGTGTTCGAGTTCGACACAGAAAAGGATAGGAAACTGGATTGAGAGGCTTAGACTGCAGAGAGGATGATGTGGGGAAAAAGTTAGGATACGGAACGGTCAGTTGAAGTTTGTCGAGGGACTTTACTTTACGAGTGTCGATCCTAGAGACAATTTTTGAGGTGACTTGAGGTTGAAGAAGTTGAGGAGATGGCTTTACGCTGGAGTGAACCAAGGTTGTTGTTCTAGGACATGTTTTCTAGATCGTTTGAGGAGAGAGAAGAGAGTGGAATGTCAGAGCTCTTAAGGAGCATTTTGTAACCCTAAGCGGTTGATTCGGACTTTGCCGCAGTCCATGGACCGCAGAGACTAAGCGCGAGGGGTTTTCCTAGTGTGGTTGCATTGACAACTCAACATTACTCTATTTTAAGAAATGCACACGATGTAATTGGCTATAAATGTCAGCTATGTGTATGAAACTTTGGCTTAATAATACAAAAGCCAAGTACTATCACTGTGCTGAAGGACTCAGGTTAAAGACCAAGATTACTGCTTAAGTGGTCCAAACTTCCCACTTAAGAGGTTGAAAAGTCCACACTCCTCAGTTAAAGACACTTGAATAATCAAGAGAGCACTGTAGGAGACAATAACAGAATGTGTTATTGTAGAGTGTTTGGAAGCAATAGTAAATATTGCAAGAAGTAGCTGGCAAGCACCTGAGCTGAAAGGCTACAGTCAGAGGTGGTGGTCTTGCAGCAACTACTTTTTAATGAATTACTTAAGTGTTGAGTCTGGGATAACTCTCAGCTTAATAATAATTCCAGTAAGAAGGTAGGGTTGGATTGGATGATAAAAAAGACTACTCTAAAATTAGGTGGAGAATATTCACTGTACTCACTTAGTTTGTTGGGGGTGAATATGCTGAGGAACCAATCCTAGGCAGGAGAAGGCCTCCTTAAATATTCTAGAGGTCCCCTTGAGGCCCTCCTTAGAATATTCTAGAATCTCTCTTTTAGTTACCATGGTAGAATTATTCCCCTGATGTAATGGGAATAATTCAAGGTATTTCAAATAATGTATATGCTATGTCCCATGACATCATGATGCATGTTTATAGCCAATTACATCATGTGTATCCTTAAATAGAATATTACCAGTAGAAAGTGCCACACTCTTGACATAGTGTGGTAATTTCTTTTCTACAAGTTTTAATAAATTGATTATGCTTGTAGAATAAAATTTCTAAGGTTACCCTAAATGTATATTTAACCCTAACTTAATATACATTGATTTTATTCTATAAATTTATATATTTTATTCCTTTTGTCCTTCAAGAGTTTGAATATATACAAAGTCCTTGGAGGAGTGGGAATTTGGGGATACTTCCAGTGGACAACCCCCTTTATAATCTTATGAAATATTGTTTTATTAAATAATATTATTACATACTATATTACATATTGAGTATTTTAATACTTAATATTGATTTAGCAGTCTTTTGGATACTATGGAGTATCTCTAAGGCTGACAATAAATATGCATCATGATATCATGGGACATAGATAAAACAAGTTATTCCCATTAAGGAGAATAATTCTACTGTAGTACATTGAAGAGAATTCTAAAATATTACAGGTAGGTCCTCAAGTAGACCTTTAGAACACTTAAGGAGGCCATTTCTAACCTAGGATTGATTCTTCAAAACATTTCCCTCAACATTCTAAGTGGGTGCAGTGAATATTCTCCTCCTACTATTAGAGTGGTTTTTTTTTCAATCCAACCCTACCTTATTACTGGAATTACTAGTAAGAATTCCTGGAGTATCCCAGATTCAACTCTTACTTAATTCCTTAAAATGTAGTTGCTGGAAGACCATAAACTCTGACTGTAGCATTGTAGCCTTTGAGCTTAAGTGCTTGCCAGCTACTTTTTGAAATATTAATTATTGATTCCAAACTAACTGCAATAACAAGAGTTGTGATTGTTGTCGAGTTTTCCTCTTCTCTGGTCTACTCTTCCCCAAAATCACTCCTTTTTCTTTTTAAGTCATCAAAAATACAGACTAGATTATTTTCACCAAGTAGCTTGTTTTTTGTTGTGATTAAGCCCCTTCTGAGTCAAATTTGAACCCTAAGTAATCAGCTCTTCTCAACAACTCATGTCTCTACGATGATCTCTTCTCTTTCCTGATTTTCTTGATTGATTTACTGAAGACTGATTACTTAGAACTAACGACTCTAAATATCTGTGGTTTATAACATGTTTTTTCTTGATTAACTCATCCGGCTTGACTAAAAGAGACTGAGAATTTTTCTACGGTTTGCTTCTTCCAAGGACTCATGTTTCTTCCTCTCAGTCTTTTATTCAATATTCTTTTTTATTCAATTTAAAATCAACCAAATTTCTGACACTTGTATCTAGTCTATTTAAACCTGGCCTCTCACTTGTGAATGAAAACTTATTGGTTCTTACACTCTTTTTCCGTTAACCTTTCCCAAAAATAAGATCCTCAATTTTTGGCCCTCCACCTCTCAGGTGCCTGAGTCATAAAATTTCATTAATTGTCTCCTACAGTGCTAATTTGATTATTCATAGGGTCCTTGCCTGAGGACTGTGGACTTAGAACCTCTCAAGTGGGGAGTTTGGATCACTTTATTGTTTGAGGGTGGCTAGGAGTAATCTTGGTCTTTAACCTACCTCGCCCACCAGGCCCCGACCGTTCAAAAACGGGCCTCCGGTCAGCCGGCAAACACACCGTCAAAGCGCTGGTACCCTCGCCAGCGCTCATTCGGTCAAGCAGCCGGCAAACCTTGGGTCAAATTGACGGATGGGCCAACATTACGTCAAACAAGACCCTGCCAAGGAGTGCAGGCAGACCACTCCGATTGGTCTAAAACCAATCGGTTTTGTAGATTCCGAGTTGATTCTCACTCCTGAATGCCAGCTCAATGACAACAACTTGTTTGGATGGTCACTTGAGTTGTTCTTCAACCTTACATTGCATGGGTCATCAGATGTTTTGATCGTTCTTATTATCAGTTACTATGTACAGTGGGTGGACCGTTATTTTTGGCTGCTTGTTTTGGATTCTACAGCTTCAAAGCACAAACTTTGAGTCACAAAACTTGGTGAAGTGGTGCAGAATAGGTACCAGAAAATGAATATGAAAAAATAAAAACAAAAAACAAAGTTTCAAAATTTGTGAAAAATAAAAAATAAAATTTGTTTTTCTCAAAAGCTTTGAAATTCATTTTGGGGGAGTGAAGGTGCTTAGAGAAAGAAAGAGTGGGACATGGCAAGAATGATTATAAATGAAAAATAATTGGAACCAAAAAAGGTTGAGCCAGGTTGGTTGTCCAGATTGGAGTCAAAACACTAAATTCTAGTGCTTTACTGCAATGTGAGCTGGTGAATGCCCCACTAAACAACTGGTTAAAACCATCTGGTAACCACTTTTGCCAAAATTTTCATTTATAATCATTCTTCCCATTTTCCATTCTTTCTTTCTCTCTGCACTCACACTTCCCCAAAATGAATATCAAAGCTTTTGAAAAAAACCAATTTTATTTTTTATATTTCACAAAATTTGAAACTTTGTTTTTTGTTTTTATTTTTTCATATTCATTTTTTGAGACCTATTCTGCACCACTTGACCAAGTCTCTTGACTTTAATCTGGTGCTTTGAAGCTCTGGGATCCAAAACAAGCAGCCAAAAACAACGGTCCACCCACTGTACACATATTTAGTTCTACAATCTCAATAGTATATACAATTTTTTTGTGAATATAAAGGTAAAAAAGAACTGTTTCATGTTGATTGAAAAACACTTGACCTGTTGGTTTGCTTGGTATACATGCTCATGAAAACTGTCCTGATAATCAATAAACAACTAACCTTCAGATCGTTCAGATCTTCAGACACATCAACCTTGGAAAGAAGAAGGGGGAGAGTTGAATCTTCAGACAAATACGAGAGTGATCAGAATTGTACTTGGCATGTTCTGAATCTTGTTTAATGCTTGGAAGCGGAACAAGAAAACTTACCTTGTATCAAACCAATGGTTGAGGCCCAAGGGCAAAATCAGCTGGTGCAAGTGGGATCCGATCGAGATGGAGTGAGTGAGGGGGGGGGGGGAGTTAGATCTGGGATGATGATGGAGAGTTGAGGATTGAGAATTTGAGATGGGGAAAAAGATGAAGGAGAGCAAGTCGATGAGGTTGAGGGGTGACGTGTCCCTTGCCCTCCGATGATCAGACTTCGGAAATTTCTAGAAGTTAGATGGGGCCCCTCTTCAGTCGTTGAGCCCCACCTACTTTGTCCTATCATCAATCACTTGTGTCCTTCTTGTTTGCCGGTGTGCTAGCCGTCAAGCTCCTTGACGGCATATTGCCTTCAAGCTTGACGGGAGTTGTGCGGTCAATCATGTGTGCCGGCAAACCAACCTGGGCAAGTTATGTTAACTTGAGTGCCCATGTGCGATCCGCACCTGAGGCAAACCCTAACACCCCTCCCCAGCCGTAGCCCAGCAGACCCTCCCACACCCTACATACCACCCCAAACCCATCCAAAATCGACCAACCCTGGCAAACCCAGGATCCCCAACCCTTGCCCTCTTTGGAGAGCCAAAAAATTCCTCTAAGTCATTGTCTCGCGACCCGCCCGGCTGAGTCCGGCTCAACACCTCAGCAGAGTCGCTCGACCGGCCTCACATCACACACCGCCGACACCTCCACCTCACCCCGCTCGCATCACTCACCTCATCACTCACCTCGCATCACTCACCTTGCATCCATCACTCACCGCTCACATCACTCACCGCCGGCCTTGATTTGTATCCTCAATTAATACTCTTTCAGACGACTCAGTAAAATCGATTCGTCTCCTCGATTGATACTCTTTCGAACGACTCGGGTCTCGGTCGAATCCCGCTATGTTAATTGAACAGTTTTAGTTTTAAAAACACAATGGATCAAGAAATAAAACAATCGATTATAAAATGAAACAATTGATTATGACATGAAGAATGGGAAACAGAACTGTGATTACAATTCCAGTTACAAATCAATCCAAGCCTCCTCAGCATCCTCGCCATCATCTACAACTTCCCCCGTAGCAATCTCATCCAAAGCATCATCAACAATGTTCAAATCAGGAAAGTTTTGATTTTTTTTCTTTGATTTTTTGCAACAACTTCCTCCAATTCTGTGTAACTATGTCATTTGCTTCTGACTTATAGCAATCCCATAACCATACGATGTCCTCCAATCATTCTTCCACCAGATCATTATGACAAGCAAGTCAATTGAGAGTCTGACCCAAAATTGAAAGGCTGGGGCATAGAAGTTAATGCTTGTGCCGAAGCATCAGCTTACCTCGATCTGGCGCTCAGCGTGAGCCTGTGCTTCCTACATCACTTCTACTGTTCTCTTAATAATGATGCTGACAGAATGGTTAATTGGATTGATCCAATAGAATCTGTTGGAGACAACTGTGAAGATCATCGAAAGGGAGCTTCTGGAAGAGATAGAGACTTGTGACTTGCCCGCTCTTGAAACCGAGGTCGTAGAGATGACGGTGAAATCTGACCCTGATCAGCAAAGAAGTCTTCTCCACCAAAGCAATCTTGACCCCCCCCCCCTCGAAAGGTCTTGAACCTTGTAGGCAGAATCCAAAATATCATCCAGGATGAAACTGAGGAACTTTTGTTACTTGATCTGTTCCAGTGTTGACTTGGCTCAGCCAGGGGACGCCCGACTGGTTTACAAATAGATTAACTTATGAAAAATTTGTTTTTGTCTTTAGTCCAATTTTACATTCTTTTGTATTTATTACCATGTTCATGCTGCCCTTCACTTTGCATCCCCACAGTTTGTAATTGTTATCTTGACTCTCATTGATTTGCTTGTTCCATCTTCTACACATCTTCATTCAAGTGATTTATTTCTTTATTTTTGAGTCTCTCATTTTATTCTCTTGTCAAAGTTTTTCCACAAGGTACCAAAGTGCCTAGATTAAGTCTACGCATTCTCTCAAAAGTGTTTGTTGATTTTATGTAGTGTACATAGTTCCAGACTAACCAAGATTCATTGCCAAGATTTATCTTATTTCTCACTAATCAGAACAGCACACAATTAGGAATGAAATGGATTTCTGAAGTGTTGCGGAACAAGAAAGATATGGTCCAACGTTATATCAAAAGAAGAGGTTGAAGAGCTTGTGATACAACTTGCAAGGGTTTTTGGATATGGTCACCTACATGGGCAAAATTATGGACGGGCCCAATAGAGGTCCATTTTTTTTATCTGTGATAAAATCACTTTGGAAAGATGGAGGAAAAAGCAGCTGGCATGATTTATCCCCAAGTTACTTGGGTATGACCCATCATAACTGAGTCATTTGAAAGCATGGCTTTATTATTCTCATACTTACTCAATATAAATCCATGCTTTGGAATGACTCAATCATGATGTGTCATTCCCAAGCAACATGGGCCACTGTGTAGTTATAGTGTGCACAACTACACATGACCCATGTTACTTGAGGATGAACAGTCATGACTGAGTCATTTGAAAGCATGGATTTATTACTCTTATACTTACTCAATATGAATCCATGCTTTGGAATGACTCAATCATGATGGGTCATTCCCAAGTAACATGGGCCACTGTGTAGTTATAGTGTGCACAACTACATAGTGGCCCATGTTACTTGAGGATGAACAGTCATAACTGAGTCATTTGAAAGCATAGATTTATTGTTCTTGTAGGTATCATAGAAAAGCCAGCAGAGCACTTCCTGCCACACTTCTCCGGCCAAGGCAATGGATATAGGCTATAATAGAAAAAAAATTTGTTGTTACCACCAATAACATGTAGCTTACATTTTGTGTTTAGGATCAAAATTTCACCAAAACACTTAATTGGAAGAAACCTGGTAGGTAGAAGGCAGTTGATTGAACTGTGTTTAAGAGTATATAAGTACAAAATATTACGGTTATACACTGATAAAGACTGTGGAACAAGTTCTCCAAACTTGGCATGGCTTGCTTTTCAAAACTGGAAACCGATTGGGTCAAGCTGTCCTGGCGCTGCTGGCAGTGTTGAATTCTTGGGTGTATGAATAGAACTTCCAAGAAAATGGGAATTGCAAACAGCACCGTCTGGTTGGGCCGATTGGAATCAGTTTCTCTTTTACAAGTGACTTCCTCCTCACAAAATTAGCCGCTCATGGTAATCTGCAAGGCTAATTTTGCACCATACTTCCCAAGAAGACTGTTTAAGATCAAAGGTAAGATCAGTCCTCCCAAGCCGGTCCCTGCGACCATACCAAACAGTCAGCTGAGTAGAGTGGTTCTAAGGGGCGACATCCCTCTGAGTACATACCGGTGAAAACAAATCCGTTTGTGAACCCTTGTTGCAGGTCAAACCATTCCAGAAGATGAGAAAGCTGGATAACAGACCAATACTTGAGTCATTTCAAAGCATGGATTTATTGTTCTTATACTGACTAAATATACATACATTCTTTGGAACCAGTCATTCCCAAGTAACTTGGAGAGATCATACCAACTTCCCTTTGCCTCAGGATTTGCAAAGTCATATCATCACAGATTGAACCTTTATAAAATATTTATTTATTTATTGTATTTTGTTTTTTAAAATTCATAGGTTTAAACCATTTAGTTTTTGCTTGATCACTCATCCGAGTAAAACCACCATAACCATATGCACCTTTCCTACTAAGCTCCTTTTGCCCCAATTGATGTCAAGCCCACATCTCCTACACTAATTGATCCTCCCTCTTGTCCCCAATCCTTCCAAGCCCCCATATTCTCAAACACTTATCAAGCAAAGATTTAAAATTCTTTTTACCCTCAAAAAATGATTCAAAATAATTATCTCCAAGTTTTGTATCAAACTTTCCAGCAACCCAAAATTTATAATCAAAGTCCCTTAATTTCCTACTAATCTGCTTTTGGTCACAATGTGGGCCAAAGATCCACTGCCGGTGCATTATGCTGATCAAAGTGGTTGTGTAAAAACAAAGAAATGAGATTTCTGGACAAACAACAAGACTGATATTATCAAGACTTGAGCTGAGCTGTTGCAAACGCTTGAAAAGACTCATCTTGATTGCCAAATGCTGAGATGAGAAGATTTGAGCTTGATCAATTGGGTCAAAATGATATGCTCGATTGATTAACTAGTTCAAACAATGAGAAGATTTGAGTGCGAATCGCAATCGATTGGCGAGGTTAAAAGCATGAGCTCGATCGAAGTCGCTAGGTCAGACGCTGAGGCAGTTTGAGTGCGATCGGTTTGCAAGTTCAAAAAAAATTAGATCAATCGCTTGCTTAGGTTAAATGATGAGGAGTGCAATCAATCGGCCAGGTCAAAAGAATCAGCTTGCTCCGATTTGAGTGGATTGTTCTGCGAGGGCAAAAAAAATTAAGATCAATCAATTTGATATGTTGGTCAAAAAAAATGAGATTGAAGCCTGAGTGGGCTTAGCAGTTGTTGGCTAATGAGTGAGGTTAGGAGGTGCAATGTCGGCCAGCGGTGAGTGATGCGATGAGTGATGGATGCGAGGTGAGTGATGAGGTGAGTGATGCGAGCGGGGTGAGGTGGAGGTGTCGGCGGTGTGTGATGTGAGGCCGGTCGAGCGACTCTGCTGAGGTGTTGAGACCTTTAGACCTACCTGTTTTGTACTACAGAAGTGCAGTAAGAATTACATCCGAATGCACTCCTGTAGTGCAAAAAAGGTGGTTTGGGATAAAATCCCGCTCCCAATCCCGATCCCGCAATCCCGCCATCCACCATCCTCCCCCCCTCAAGAAATATGTAGGACCCTTGCTTGGTAACAGATCCTCAATCCCAATCCCCAATCCCTATCCCCTATCCCTAACCCCTATCCCTAACCCTACCCCTAATCCCTAACCCTAATCCCTCAACCCACGTGGACCCTATCCCTAATCCCTAACCCTATCCCTAATCCCTAACCCTAAGGCCTAATGCCTATTGGGGTGATTGAGAAGGGTGGTTTTTGATTTATTTTTGAAGTCGAGCTTTGATCGGTTTGACTGGAGGGGGATTGCGGGATTGCGGGATTGGGAGCGGGATTTACCGCTTTTGCACTGTAGGAGTGCATTCACATGTATTTCTTACTGCACTTCTACAGTGTATGGCATGTAGGTCCATAGGTCGGTGTTGAGCCGGACTCAGCCGGGCGGGTCGCGAGACAATGACTTAGAGGAATTTTTTGGCTCTCCAAAGAGGGCAAGGGTTGGGGATCCTGGGTTTGCCAGGGTTGGTCAATTTTGGCTGGGTTTGGGGTGGTATGTAGGGTGTGGGAGGGTCTGCTGGGCTACGGCTGGGGAGGGGTGTTAGGGTTTGCCTCAGGTGGCGATCCGTCAGATTGCCAGTAATCTGACGGCTGGCAGGTCAATTTGCCGACCGATTGACCCAACTGGCAATCTGCCAGCCGAAATCAAAAAACACGCAACCGCCGTGTAGGGTTCCGATCCGGACCCCGAAGATCCGGCACTACCCGACCGGGTACCGGGTCGAGTCGGGTCACGGGATGACCCTAGACATACCCGGTATCCGATCGGGTATTTTTGGGCCTAAAATTCCGCCCTTTATGGCAGAAATCCGGGGTTTTTGGGGGTTTTGGACCCATTTTTTTCGAGATTTTTTTTTTTTTCAAAATCAAAAGTTAGTTTTGGGCTCTTCCAAACCGCTTGGTGAAGTTTGGGCTGGAGGCTCAGATCCGTCGGGTACCCGGCGTCGGAGCCGGATATGCCGGGTTCGGATCTCGGAAAGGCGATACCCGAACCCGGAGGCCCGGATCGGAACCCTACCGCCGTGTAATTTCTTCATCCTGGTGCGTAATATGATTAGACTTTTGTGGAAGACTCAAACATTTGCGATACAATCAAATGTGTTGGGCAAATACTCTTTTACAATAAGTAAACTGATATCCGGTTGGAAGTCAAATTGCGTAGTTTGAAGCGCGAAAGTTGACGATAAAAGAGTGGAGGTTGTGTTATGTATGCACTGAAGTGTATTCACCGTGATGCCCAAAGACCCTGATATCATCATGGGGGGAGCAGTTGGGGGAGATGTCGGTAGAGACGCGCGCCTACCTACGCGCGCTAGTGCCACAATCGTCTCTGTACAATATATTTATCTGGATCCCCCGGATTTAGGATGGCTCCTCGAGGCTCCTCGCCGAGATGATCAAATGCGACAATCTGCAATAAATATTAACCAATCTAAATTTGGATATTTCGCAATCGGTAGTCCGCACATGAGTTATCTTCCACATAGGAAAAAGACATGTATCCCCTTCAGGTTCTAAATTCTATCTTCTCCTGACTTCCCTTTCAGGCTCCTATAGTGTATCAATCTACCAGATGTTATCTTGCTGCAAGCGAATACTTCTGTATGAAGGCATTGATATCCGAAATTCGTGTGTAGTAAGAAACAAGTTGACCGATTGGCTGGACATGGCAGGTAGTTGCACGTCTTGATGGTGGTAAATGGTGAATTCTCATAGTTGCATCGCCGGGTTTGTTTTTCACACCGTTACTGAGTTCGGCTGGTCTAGTCATACACATGTCCGGTCTTCGAAGTATGACATAGCGCGGTAGTTGACGCAATCCTTGTGGGCTCCGATTGTCACTTTGTCCAATTGCTTTCATGTGGTAGCGTGGCAACGCTAAGCCAGCTGTGGTTTGTTTACTCTGGTTTTACTTACACTCTTAATCCTGGTAGAAACTTCTTGACAAAGAACTCCTGACGCAAGCTTGGAAAATCCACATCCTAGCGCTTATTGCTTGTGGCAGCTCGTTTTTTCTCTTTGTTCGATTATCCAAGCTCAACCAAGCAACACTCTACCTGAACGAAGCTCCCCGGTTCGCTACTCTATTTCGCTCCAATGACTGATCGGCGCAAGGTTCCCCCATCTTTGGAAGAGAAGCCCTCGATCGAAGATGCGTCCTTTTCTCGGGGCCGGCGTTCATCAGTTGCGACAGACAAGGAAGCCCGACAAGGAATGCTGGCCAGTGATGCCGGGATGGCCTTTGTTTCCGAAGTTGATGGTATGATCCAAGAAAGAACCCAGTGCCAGCTGTCTTGACTGGCTGAAGCTACGCATACTTAACTCATTTCTTTACGTGTGCACCTCAACAGATAAAAACATCACTGCCACGGCTGCCCAATTAGACTTACCCCAGGCCCGCCAGATTATTCAGGATGCAGTTTCCAAGTCAGTCACATTTTTACGTGCCTCGCATGTATGCACTCAGAATTTAGTGCGGAAAAAAACACTGAAGCCACCCTGGCCTCTATATATGTTGTCAGATATCAACTTGACCCGAATGCCCCTAGCGGCCTTTTAGAAAGGGCCCAAGATGCGATCAACAACAACAATTTGACCAGCGATGCGGCTCAACAGATCATTGATGAAATCAAGATTGAGGCGGCCTTGTTGGAAGAAACACCGTTCCCAGAAGTGCGCAATGTCGCACCCAGCACTGATGATCCATCGCTGCCCGTTAGCACATTTAGAGCCTGGTTTATTGGAATTGTTTGGACTATCATTGGCACAGATAAGCATTTTGGAAATCTGTTTACTTTGCGCACCTAAGTATTCGCCTTGAGAGGGATGTGTCGGTCTAACGTTTTTTCGGCTTCCATGACCTTTCCTTTTTTGATCATGCACGTGTCAACATCTTCTTCCAAGCCCGACTTCCGGGTATTTCCATCAATACTTTTGTCGGTCAGGTCCTTGCCCTCCCAGCTGGTCGGTTTCTGGCTACCGTCCTGCCGACGCATGTATTCAAACTGTTTGGCTACAGCTTCAGCCTCAACCCAGGTTCGAATTGCAATGGACTAGCTGATCTTCCAATGTGAGAAAATGAGCGCTGATTTATGAGAAATGGCTCATACCTAGGTCCTTTCAACGCGAAGGAACACCTTCTGATTACTATCATGGTGAGATTCTGTCTAGATTCCTTGTGTTTTCCAGGTAGCTGACCCCTTTTCTACTCAAGGGGAACGTCACGGTAAGTCTGGTCATATAGGCAATCGTCATTGATCGCCGTTAATGACGTAAACTTCTACAATTTCTATGGATCATAATTTCAGTATGGGGGGCAAGTCGGCGTTTACGTGAGTTAGACTTATTTTTCTCGTCCCCTTCTCATCTGAAAACTCATTTAACTACTCTTCAGGTCACTGATTTGATTGCTACACTGAGGATCAAACGGTTCTATGGCTTGGGAGGGTACGCCTGCCATTTCTTCCCAAGATGTTGATGACCTCCTGACCAACTAACTGGATTATCCTATGGTCACCAGTCGTTTCTCTGATGTCGGCTTCCAGTTACTGATGACCATATCGACTCAGATGCTTGGCCTTGGCCTCTCTGGTATGACGCGAAGGTTGTACAGTCCAGCATATATCTCAAATGAGACTTTTATACTGAATCGCTGCACGTGGAAATTTCCAGGTTCTTGGTCTACCCACCCATGATGATATGGCCGACGTCCCTGGCAAGCCTCGGTACGTGTGAGGCACCGGAACAGACCCAATTTCTTGTGACTGATTGACTTGACTTTTTTTTGATGCAGCCTTGAATAACGTGTTTCACGACACGTCTAACCCAATTGCTAACGGCTGGAAGATGGGCCGGTATCGGTTCTTCCTCATAGTTTTCGTTGTAAGTCTAGTAATGCAGCTTGTGGATGTAGACAGATTTTCACCGATCATTGATCAATTGCAACTTTTCTCTTCCCTCGTAGCTTTACGGATTGTACTTCGTATTCCCCGATGCCGTAGCATCATTCTTGGGGACGTTCAACTGGATGACGTGGATCAAACCTGATAGTGTCAATTTGGCAGCCTTAACCGGCTCTGTGTCTGGGCTTGGCTTGTGAATAAAATCATTTCAATCCTTACATCTCAAATGGGCGCTAACCGTTCCTTCTAAATATTTCTCTACCCCAGAAACCCATGGACAACATTTGATTGTAAGTGCGGTACATTTTTATGACCCAAGCCTGATCGTATGCTAAGACCGTGTGTCTTAGATAATGTTGCCAGTCTTCTCCGTGACCCAATCATTACTCCTCTATTTTCGGTTATCAATCAATTCGCGGGTCAGCTCATTTTGGGCATGATAATTCCTGCACTTTGGTACACCAATACCTGGAACACCGGGTAAGGTTTCTCCACGGCACTTGGATACATGTCATCTTCATGGGACCAATACTGAATTTGATTCCCTTTTTTTTGAAATCGTGACAGATACCTGCCCATCAATGACAACGGTGTGTTTGATAGATTTGTGAGTTTTTATTTCATCGACGCCTGAAGTGCCTAGAGGGAAAGCTGAAGTTGTAACTGCTTCCTTTTTGCAGGGCAAGCCCTACGTGAGTCATTTCGGCAATAGATAGCACCTGTTCCCAATCTTCTGTTTAGCTCATACTAGTGCGTACTTTTAGAACATTTCTCGAGTAATGGATCCCAAAACGCAAACTTTGAATGTTACTGCGTACGAAGCGTACTCGCCGACTTACCTCTCCGCTGGCAACGGTATCCAATGTTTGTACATTTCTCCAAATTTCAATCGCTTCGCTAGCTGATATACATACTCTCATCATCAGATGGATTTTTCTTTGCAATGTACACTGCCCTGATCGTTCATGTGGCTTTGTACTACCACAAGGAGCTAGCTGAAGGCTTTCGATCAATGTGGAAGTCGGCATCCGGTAGAGAAGGATGTAAGGTCTAACTAACATCATGCCTAAAATCAAACGGATCTTGATCGAAGGCTGAAGAAAATTTTCCCTCCGAAAAACTTGCATATCCAGTCACCGATCTTCACAATCGATTGATGAGGCCCTACAAAGAAGTGCCGGAGTGGTGGTAGGTTTCAATTCACTCATGAAGGTGACTAAAGAATGATCTGATTCAGGGTTGAAATTTTGATTCTGTTAGGTATCTTACGATCCTACTTTTCTCATTGGCAACTGGGATTGCCTTTAATGAGCATTATGAGACTGGCTATCCTGTCTGGGCCTTATTTGTCAGTCGGAACTTCTTATTCCAACACCAAAAATGTGAAACTTATTTTCTACCTCTTGAGGCAATTAGGTCGCGTTGGCAATGTCGGCTGTCTTCGTGATTCCTTGTGGTATGGTGTATGCCGTGACCAACACGTAAGCACCCACATGGCTGGTTTTCCTTCAAGTTTTCGCGTAAACGCTGTGTCTCATTTTTTTTTTGCTCCTCGTTATTTCGCCCATCTTCTTGTTAAAAATCAAAACAGCGAAGTGACGATGAATGTTTTGTGAGAAATCCACTCGTCCACTAAGTACTCCCCCGAATTTCCCCAGACTAATTGGAGATTTCCACTTTCAGGGCTGAGCTTATTGGTGGTTACCTCTTACCGGGAAAGTGAGTGTTTGTTTCTCTAGTCCTAATTCCAAAATGAAGAACTTTAAACTTAAACACTCCGTTTCCTCTCAGACCCATCGCAGTGATGTTATTCAAGGTTAGCTTACGATCAACTTAAGGTCGCCGAAAGGTTGATTTATTTTTTCTTAACCTGTTTTGGTTTCTAGTCTTATGGATTTGTCTCTACGGCACAAGCCATTGGCTGTAAGTGTACTCCTCTAAACATCACTTGACTTTTTCACGATACTCATTAAATTACTACGATTTACAGACGCCGCTGATTTAAGTAAGCTGCATCCTGCTTAAGCTGTTCAGAGTTGATCCTAATGGAGCCTATTGTTCTTCCAGAAATTGGACATTATGCACATATCGGACCCAGGCATTTGTTTTTTGCGCAGATGGTTGCCAGGTGGGTACCACATTCCCCACTACCCCCTTTATAGTTATCAACTTGAATCCTCACTGGCTGCCCCATTATAGTTTCGTTGCATGCTTCGTCGGCGTGGGAGTCCTCTCCTGGCAGAGTTAGTCGATGCTTCGCTTTGTTTTATTATTATTATTTTTAGAGTAGTTTGATTGACTGACATTTTTGAATGACGGGGTCATTTCAACATCAAGTTACCAATCTATCGGATTTCTGTGAACCAAATCAAGTCAATCGGTTTACTTGCCCCGGTTATCGTACATACTATACAGCATCAGTGATTTGGGTAAGGATTTTGATTCCGAGCTGATTTTACTCTTTAACCAATGAATGCTGACTGGTGCGATGATTCAGGGTGCGATCGGTCCAGAGCAAGTACAATTTGGAGTCGATATCGTTCTTTTGCTCGTCAAACTAATGCATCAATTTCCTAAAATATGTAAACACAGACGAGTTTATTCTGCTGGTAGGATCTATCATGCCCTGACCTATTTCTTTTTGATTGGCGCTGTTGTACCCATACCGTTGTGGTATCTGGCCAAGAAGCGTGGGGGGAGTTTCTGGAAGTATATTAATGTTCCAGTCTTCCTAGCTGGCTCTCTCAGTAAGCCACATTTTTCTCTTCACCTCTTGACGAATACCCTGGCTGATCAGTTTCTTTTTTTTCCTTTTCAGACTGGTCACCCTGTGAGTACTATATAGTGGATCAGCAGCTCACACTCTTTAGCGTAAACTGATGCTAAGATTGGTATACAACTTGCCTCTACCTAGACAACATGTCTTACGCATTCCCTATGTTGTATGTGGCCTTGTTTGTCAATGGCTACCTTCGCCGTTTCTATTTCCCCTGGTGGTCAAAGGTGAGCTTGGCTATGAATCAGTCTAGTCAGCACAAACTTCTCCGGCTGATCAGTGGTGATGATCTTTTTTTCAGTATCACTGGGTCTTGGCTACTTCTCTTGCTGCTTCGATCGCAGTTTTTGGAGTGATCTGGTAGGTTCTTGAAAGTTTTCTGATCTGTTGAGTGGTAAAGATTTTCTGAGTTTGGACTCTTTGTGGTTTTCCTAGGTTTTTTGCGATCCTGTGAGTTTATCTTCCACCCTTTACTAAACCACCCTCAATGACTGACTTGATTGTCTGGGCTTCCATGCACATTCTTCCAACGCCAGTTACAAAAACTCTCAGCCGGTAAGTCAAGGATTCTATACTTGAAGTTTACTTGAAGCTGATGCACTCTATCCTTTATCTCTATCTTTTTTCTTATTCAGGAATGGTGGGGTAATGTAAGTGCTAAGAATATCTTGTATCAGTCTTTCAAACGATGTGTTGACCGATTGTTTTGGTTGAAATTTCTAGTCTGTTGTCAACGCAGGTTGTGATGGTCAAGGGTGTGCCCGCTTGACTGTCCCTACAGAGGGATTCGGCCCTGCTCCCGGGCAGTTCCAAGCTTGAAGAATTTATACGTTATTCTTACTTCCGGACCCTTTTAAATACGGGATCAACTTCAGATTTCTTTTTCTTTATTTCTTTTTTTTCTGGGGGGGGGGGGTTGATTGGACGTTGCTTGTCAATGAGGAATGTAGTTTGTCAACTGTCGTTTTTTTATTATTATCTCTTGGATATTTATCCATATCAAATATATTTGTGTAAATAGTTATGATCCTACCAGGCGTTGATGTTGTAGCTCTTCTTGAAATAATTTTGGTTTCCAATCTTTCTACAGTTGCGTACGGCATAGACCGACCATGCCCCGCCCGCAAAATACAAATTGTACACGCGGGGCCTATGCCCCGGGGGGCTTGTGCCCTGACACTTAATTTTATTACAATTTTGAACTTTTGCAGATGTGTAGAGTTCAATATTGTAATCACTAAGTTTTGAGTGAGTGGTTCAATTTTTTTTTCATTCCACATACATATATCGGACATGCACAGATTAGCATACCTAAACCATAGTATGCTTAGTGATACATAAACATGTTTATACTACTTGTACACTCTCGATCGTCGAACGGAGGAAGGACTTGACTGCCTCCAAGGCATTCGATCAACTAATCGATTATCTCGAGAAATCTCCTACCGACTTGGACCCAGCCTTCAGGAGATCTACCATCAGGGTCATCATCTTGGATCTCGACGCCCATCTCTCTGGTCGGACGGATTGGTCAACTGAGAGTAAGTGATCCCGATCTCTTCCCTCCCAGTCAAAACAACAACTGCAAACAAACACCTCCACCTTCTCTCGGCTGACTTTCTGATCGATCTTACGCTCCACAGCCACCTTACGCGCACTCGTGACCCTCAAATTCCTCGGCCGTTCCTCAATCGCCACCGATGATCTCGTCTCCCATCTACCACTCTTTACCCGTTATGCAAATCTACTCCCACCACTCTCACCTCAATCAGACGATCCAAAATCGACTACCATCCGATCTGCCTTCAGCCCTCCGATCGTCCAAGAATCATTGCGGATCCTTGCGAACGCCCTCTTCTTACACCCGCTCTCCAGGTCTTCCCTCGATCTCTTACCCGCCTTGAGTCCCTTGGTCGAACTCGCCGCGGGTCCATCCGATAGATCTCCAAATCCCGGTCCTCAACAGAATCCCATCCCATTCCTGGCTTCCAGGCTTATCTTCCTCATCACCGCCGTCCCCTCCATCCTGGTGGTCGAGGTGATCGAAAAAACTGAGCTGATCAGCTGCTTCGAACGATCCTTCAAGCACCAACTCCTCAATAGGAGCCAGTCTCAAGAAGCAGTTTCTCATCCATCATCGATCCCTCAGGATGTGCTCATCGAACACCTCAAGATCATCTTCAACCTCATGGTCCATTACCCTAAATCGGTCTTACAGTTCGGCCAGCCCACCTCGCCTACCATCGGTCAATCCCCATTCACCTCCTCTTCAGACTCCAATGGTTCAAACGACCCACCAGTCTCTCCTAGTCGTCGGGCGAGTCTCAAGACGCGTCTTATGAATCAGATTAGTATCAAGAAGATCACCCGTCGAACACGATCAGAAGCTTCGAATATCAAGGAACAAGAACCCCTCGATCAGATATCGACATACCAGGATGACCATCGTCCCAGCCATTCGAAAAATTCACGTTCTCCTCATAACCGCTCTCATTCAAAAACCAGTAGTCGGGTACCCAGCGTAGATCAGGACGTAGAAGGTTTGGATAACGTCATCGACCCACACAACCACGTTTTTGCTGGGTCAGTAACCTGCTCATTCCTCTTCAAAGGACGAGCAATCACTAACACTTTGTGATTCATTCTCCATGTTCTTGTTTCAGACTTCTCCCTCATCTCGTTCACTTATTCCTCCTGGAGCCGATCCCCAACCCACCCAACCTGAAGCCTCCATTGACTTCCTTCATGCACACCTTCCTTAACTTTCTACCCTTTACCTCGAGCTTCTTCATCCATGAATACACCTTACCAAACGATTCAAATTGGGATCCGAATATCCCACCGGTGATCGCTAAACTGGTTAATCTCATCGATCAGGTCACTTGTTACTACTGCCCTGGAGATCCTGATGATCGATCTGCCAAGGCAAAATGTCATGCAGACTCCATCGACCTCGAGGTCGATCTAACCCAGATTGTTCTCTTGACGGCCAACCTCATCTCACCCCATACTTCCCCTCACCCTTCGACGCCTATTGGACTAAGCAAAAAGAGTCGTGAAGCGCTCATTGAAAGGGTCGTTCCAAGTAACATCGATCGTAGTGTTGCTTTGAATAAACAGGATAATCTGATTGGCCGCATTCTGAGATTGATGAACTCAGTAGGATTCGAATCCCTCAAACATACTTGTGGGGCCTTTTTAAATGCATTATATGCGGAGGACAGTAAGTGATTAAGACGTTTGTTTCGCGAGGGGGAAGGGCATTTCGCAATGCATGTATCCTCGAGAGAGAGAGAGAAAGGGCTGATGATCGATTCATATATCACCAAATCATCTCAGCCGATCGTCTTTCTAGTCAAGTTGGATATGGACCGATCGCAGGCTACTTGCTATCGATCGGTAAGGCAGGATTGAATCCGGATAGCAAGCATTCACCGGCGGCCGAGATTAATCCGATCACGGGCACGTACTGGCCGAGTGGCGAGTCGAGCGAGTCGGCTCAGTCGCCGATGACTGAGTTTGAGAAGGAGCAGGAAGCCGAACGGATGTGTTCGCTGTTCGACCGGATGAATAGGAGCGGTATCATCTCCGCAACTGATCCGAGGAAACTGGCAGTCGAATCGGGCAGGTTTCAGGAGATCGAACAGTCGGTTGATGCCGAAGAAGATGAAGAAGAAAAACTCGAGGAGATGAAAGCTCTAAGAGAACTTGAACTATATAAAGAGAGAAAAAATAAGAAGAACGTCGATCACTAAATAAGCGGTCTGAATTCGTTTACCCATTGTTTATTTTTATGATCGTTGTTGAGAGAAACTGATTGAGCCTTGAAGGATTACATACTCAATTTCCTACTGATTACAGTCACCTGAAATCCCTCATCTTTCTATTGCCCCTTTCCCCCACACCATTCCGCCGGACGCTAAGTGCTTCGATCGATCATGTAACCTTTTTTCCCCCTTCAATCCTTAGCAAGTTTTGGTCCACGTCTCTCTTTCATGTGTACACAATTGTCTTGTGGTGATATCTCCCCTTTTAGTATCAGTAGCTGTGTCCAAGTTTGAACTAGATTCCGTTGAGCGGCTCATGCTTTCTCCTCTGTCCCCCCTCTCTCTCCCTCTCCCTCCCTCTCTCTCTCTGTTCTCTTTGCACGACCAAATTATATGTGTTGTATGTACCGTTGTTGATTGGACCAGATAAGGAAGGAAGAACACTCTAAATTTTGGGTCTCAATACATATGAAGTTGACGGGCTCAGATAAGAGTGCTGAATAGAAACAGGCTGCATAAATAATCAGTGGCATAGTTTGTTGATTCCTCAACGTGATTTCTCAAGCTCCACGTTGCTCCTCTGGCTCTGCTATGAGTGCCTAGCATTGAGCAAAGTCACGGCTAAGATACGGATGGAATTTCAAATGTCCGATTATTATTCTTCTTTTTTCAAGTCAAAGAGAAACCTTCTCGTTCCTTGATGGGGGTCAAGAATCGGATAGGAAACACAAAGACAAAAATTAAAATGCTGAAAAGGGGAGAAGTTGGTGAGCGTGTGCTGTGACAGGTGGGTGGATGTATGCATTAGCTTGACAGGGGCTGTGACATGGACTGATTGTTGTATGTGTAACTGTACGCATAGATGGTCAACAGAGTAAAGGAAAAAAAAAAAAAAAAGAAAAGAAAAAACCAACCAACAACAACAGCAGCAACTTCACCGGACCACTTCAGATGGAACCAACGCCATGTCATCTCATGGTCCACAGAATCGGGCATTCTCAGTCACCCACCAGAGGGCCATCCTCGACATCAAACTAGACGGAACCATCAACGCAATCACCGAGATCACCATCCTACCACTCTCAGCCGACCTCAACACAGTACACCTCCACTCATCCCACTGCACCATCTCATCCATCTACCATCCCAGCCAACACCCAAACAACACCCACCAACACAAACAGCCACTCCACTTCATCCTCAACCAACCCAACCTCGTCAGGATCCCCGACCCAAACTCAGTCAGGCAATTTCCAGAAGCAAAACGCAGGCTATTCGAACAAGTTAACGAGAAGGAGACTGGCGAACTAGCCATCCAGATCGATCGACACAAGATCAATCGGACCAGCAATCGCCAATCTGCTACCAGCTTACTACCCCCATCCGATCAACATCAACTCTCAGCTCAGAAGGACAAAGACCTAGAATTCGATCCGATCATCATCACCATCGAATACCAGATCACTCAAGCTGACCTCACCCTCAACCCAGCCATCTGCGTCGTAGGCGGACAACACCCTCACCTATTCACCAATTCTATCTCGGCCAGGTCTTGGGTTCCCTGCTTGGATTCGCTATGGGAAAGAAGCCCATGGGAACTCGAGTTTATCGTACCCAGATCATCCATCACCAACCATGCGAAACCATCCCCACTCACCGTCGTCGCATCCGGTGAACTGATCGAACAAATCATCCATCCAACCGACCCTTCCAAGACCGTATTCTATTACGCACAAGCCATCCCGACCTCAGTCCAACACATAGCTTGGGTAGTCGGCCCTCTCACCGTCAACGACCTGACTCCCTATCGACCTCCCCCACCTTCTAGCCCACATCAAGATAAGGCCGATCAACCAGTCGATCAAAAGATCATCACCGATCAACACCATCAATCCTCTACTGAGATCAATCTACTTGCCTTCTGTCTCCCCAACAGACAGTCCCAACTCCTCCATGTCGTCAACTTCTTACCTCATGCTCTCTCTTTCTTCACCCAGGAATACGGTTCTTACCCATACTCATCCTACAAGCTCGTCTTCCTCGACATGTCTGCTGCCACTCACTCCATCTGTGCTACCTTCAACTCAGCCACCTTGACCCTCTGTCCATCCGATCTACTCTACCCACCTCAAGTGATCGACCAAGTATATGAAACCAAACCGGTCCTCGTCCAATCTCTCGCCAGCCAATGGATCGGCATTAACATCATCCCAAAATCTCCATCCGACACCTGGCTCATCAACGGTCTCTCACTCTATATCACCGGTTTATATTTCAAGGTGATCTGGGGTACCAACGACTATCGATATCGGATCAAACAGGAAATCATGAAATGTGTCGAAATGGATGTTGATAAACCACCGATCTGCCACCTGGATTGCTTTATCGATCGACACCGAAGTCTTGGGCTTTGTCAACCTCAAAGCAAGTCTCGTACTTTACATCCTCGATCGACATCTCAGGCGATCGGGCGGTGGCACATCTCTCGGCTTGAGTCGGGTGATCCCCCAAGATCTTTCTCTCTGCGATCTCGGGTGAAATGAGGGATAACATGCTATCGACCACTAGTTTTCTACGGATCTGTCGAAAGTTGAACGGAAATGAATTGAAATCTTGGGCTGATCAATGGATTTATGCATCCGGTTGTCCGATCTTCCAAGTCACTGCATACTTCAATCGTAAGAAGCTAACTCATGAGCTTACCTTGAGGCAATTGAATCGTTCAAAGCAGTACTACGAAGATGATCAGACCAGTTGGGCTGAGAAGTGTAACCTGAAACCAGTCGACCGATTCGAAGGCCAGATGTCAATACGAATCCAAGAGTCTGACGGAATACCTTATGAACATGTACTCGACATCAAAGAACCTTTCAAGCGCTACGAGCTACCCTCTAACCACAAGAACAAGAAATTCAAACGTTCCAGTCGCCGCTACGCTTCATCCAACCAAGCTCCAGATCTCACTGAAACTTCAACAGAAACGTTCACTTATCCGCCTTGGGAGCGCTCACAAGAGGAACGTGATCGATGGAAAGTTGAAGATTGGACGGAAGAGGAAGATCTGTTCATTACTCAATCTAATGTCGAGTGGATTCGTCTGGATGTAGAGGTCGAATGGATCTGTGAATTCAGATTTGAGATGAAGGAATTCATGTGGTTAGAACAACTCCAGAGGGACCGCGACGTCGTCGCCCAACTAGAGGTAAGATGAACTATATCACCCAATGCAACACAAGCAGGTTCACCGACTGAATTTTCTGACTATTTTTAGGCAGTTAGAGCTTTGAAGACTCTACCTTCAAAGGTTGTCTCCAGTCACTTGTGTCGAGTAGTTCTCATCTCGGAATACTTCTTTCGGATTCGTATTGAGGCTATATTAGCCCTGGTCTCGGTTTGTTTGCAGCTTTTTCTCAATTAATCCCAAGTCATCCATCACTCCTTACCCATTTTTTCCCTTCTGTTACTTTCCCGTATATCGCAGTGTGCAACCAGTCGGTGTGGCTTTCTGGGTCTATTCCATCTCCTCAAAATCTTCCAATCACGCTTCTGCTATCCTCCCCAAGTCGAACCTGACAGTCCGTGGCACATCAGAGCAATTCCCAAGCCCAACCAATTCGACAATTTTGCCGATTATTTCATTCGAAAGGTCTGCTGTATTCTCTGATCAAATGATGTATCGATTTTGGAGTGATTGCTGATTACCTCTCTCTCTCTCTCTCAGGCACTCGTGGTTGCCCTTTCACACGTGCGAGATCAGAACAACAACTCACCTTCGGTCTGCCATCAGTTCTTTCTTGATCAGCTGGTCTATAATGACAATTCCTTGAACCCGGTTAGTGTAGTTGCGAATGATTGGCTAGTAATGCCAAACCTACTACATATACGTCCTTAACCTGTCTATATCTCCTCATGACACTTTTCTTCTCTGAAGTATTCCGATGCCCATTACATAGCGACAACGATCGGATCTATGACCGATTCTTTAATTCATCTGGCCGATAATGCAGGAAGGGAACAACTGGTAGAAATCTTCGGGACCAAGGCTCTTTCAACAGGAACAAATGGCGACTTGGAGAAGACATGCGACAAAAGATTACTACTCATGATCAACGAACTCGAAAGATGTTTCATGGCTGATCGACTGGTGCCTTCATATCGTAATTTGATCGCAATGGCTGTCATTGAAGTCAGCATAGTTTCAGTTCGTCTCTACTTTGTCTCGCTAATATTGAAAAAATTCGGCTCTCGTCTTACAGGCCAAGTTGAAATTAATGTTTGCCGGTTTATTGCCGGTTGATTTGGTCTTCTTTTTGCTGTGCGCAAGGTGCGTGAGGATGTTCAAGTTCACTTTTTCCATGTTTTTTTTTCTGTGCCGATCTCCAAAGTCCCCTTGGATGATGCTAAGACATCTTGCATTGACCTATCTCAAAATCAAGACCGGGAAATTATCTTCCCCTCCGAATCCTAGCATTTGACTGTCTTCTGCTCTTACGAGGATTTCAGGAAAAGGCAATCATTCGGTACATGTTCATGGTACTACGTGATGATTCATCTCTGCTCGTTCGCCGGCGGTTGGCCATGGGTCTGGTCCAGTGTTTACCGATTCTAGTGTTGATTGAAGAACTCGGTATGGAGCCCTCTGACCAGAACTTCTCGGTGATCGACGAAAGTCATCCACTCAATACCCAAAAGTTTGATCACAAGACCGTCACAAAGCATCTGAGGGCCGAAGTTGGCCGTGCGCTAATCTTGAGAGAATGCATTATGTCTGTTATGTTGTGAGTGTCCTTCCCCTCCGCATGAATATCTTCGGGTTCTTACCATCTGTTTGCTTCATTTTAGACACCCCACCGTAGACACAGATGTGCAAACATGCCTGTTGAAGATATCAGAGGTTCTATTCAAACCTTCGGATGAATCTGTTCCTGTTCGAATTCCCGAAGAAAAACAACCCCCGGTGGAAGCTCCCGTGCCCGTTGCTACAAAAATTCGAATCCATGCTCCCTCAGTACCCCCCATTGAACCTTCCCAATCCCCAGGTTTGTTTTTGTCCTATCTTGTTTGTCACAGTGTACCATCCTTCTTGAAATTTAACTCATATGCATCTTTTTTCGCTTGTTCTCAGCTCCCCTCCCAAAAATTATTTTGAAAGATCATCAGCAGCACTTGGCTAATGATACCGACCCTGGAGGGTCCTCACCCCCGCGCCTGCCGCCACCAGATGTACCCTCGAAGTTGGCCGCGGCCTTGATAAGGAAGCCAAAACCACCACCCAAACCGAAAAAATTCCAGGCGAGTGGGATGACGATTCCTGACCATAAGATGTGTCAGAACTTGTTAAAAAAGCTGGCTAGTAATCCTTTGAGTCAGCCTTTTCGGAAACCGGTTGATCCTATTCGGGAGAGTGCTCCCAACTAGTAAGTTGATTTTGCTGGTTTTGGCTTAGACGATACGGCCAGTCTGATTTGTCTTTGATCTGTCTTTTTTTACAGTTTCAATATCATATCCAATCCCATGGACTTTAAGACAATGGGCCTCAAGCTCGAAATGGGACAATATCCTAACCGGGAGGCATTCAAGGATGATGTCAATCTGATTTTCAAGAATTGCAAAACCTACAACTTACCTGATTCTTCGCTTGTGGTCAAATACGCCGAACCATTAAAGGCCACATTTGATAAACTGTGGGAGCGCTCTGAGAAAACAATGAGTGCCATTCAAGCCAAAGGCCTTGGTGGGGTGAACCCAGGTCGCCTACAACCAACGGATGCAAAGTCAATTGTGGCACCAAGTAATGTTGTACCGCTTGCTCCACCACCATCGTTTGCAGCCTTTGCTGCCGGCGGCTCGATGATTCCTCCGGTGTCATCATCACCAATCTCCCCCGGGTTACCACCTCCTCCTCCCGTGCCATCACGGATGAGCCCAGAAGCTTCGAGACCCGGTAGGCTTAAAGTCAAGCTCAAACCAAGGACCTCGATATCCACTGGTAGTACCACATCAGAAATTCTTCCCGAAAACAATTCATCGATACCCCCCGCCCCAAAATCCGGGTTGAAGATCAAATTCACGACCACAGCTACTAACTCGACCCTTGCCAATCCACCTTCGACACCGACAACTGTTAAACCAGAAGGCGGAGTATGCATGTCATCGACATATCCATCAATACCATTTCCTGCTTCTTCATCGTCCACCTATCCCCCGCCACCACCACCTATAATTTCTATGGCCCCTCCTAAGTCACGGCCACCACCAACTCCCTCATTTGTACCACCCCCACCCCCACCCCCACCAACATTCGAGTCATTTTCCCTCGCGGCCCAGCTTGGCCCCAAACCTACGCCCGCTCCGACCCGAACGGAAAAGCCCTCTGTAGAAGTAGAAACATCCGATCCTTTTCCCAATCTGCTTGAAAAACCTACCAAGTCTAAAAAACGTCCATCATCTTCTCAGCCTACGTCTATTGCAGCGCCACCACCACCTCCAGGGTCGTCGTCGTCTCAAAAGCCTGTAAAAAGAAATAACCTGATTGTCCAATTTCCAAAACCACCGGCATTACCACCCCCGTCTGCACCGGCTGTTATCACTCCATCCTCAGCACCTGGTCCCACTATCGGTTTGCCGAATTTCCCTGCCCCGCCACCGCCCTCGTTACCCAAACTTGACTTGAAATCTTCCAAGCATCCAACACCTCCTACATCTTCCATCCCACCAGCAAAATCCACTGTCAATCCTCCCTTATCTTCCAACCCCATAAAGATCAAGGTCGTACAAAGACCAGCGCCCCGGCCGGTTGTTCAAGATCGCCCAGAATCATCCGTACCTTCCGACGTAGCGAATTTTCTCCAAACAATAAAACAAAGTTGGAGAAGAGTCCAAAATCAAAGAAAAATTGACGGGTACCAGGAGTGTGACTGTTTCCTACTAAAACACATCTGGAACGTCTCTCACCCAATCCAGTTGACTCCCCTGTCAAGAGGTTCAACTTCCACCAGTACCTCTGCCGTCTCCCACTGGTCAGGAAGTCGAAAGACTAAAAAGGTCGACCTTTACCGGAGCACATCGAGCAAAGCTCAGGACATCGGTCTTCTCCACCTGTACTTCCTAAAACACCAGACTTGAGCACTTCCAGATCCCCTAGTCATATATCAAGAAGTCCATCCACCTCCACTGCCGCCGGGAAATCGGTAACATTGGCACCCCCTCCTAGCTCTTCAGTTGTCAGCGAGCCAGTAAAGGCGGCCAGTCCAGTGGCCGATGATCTACTGAACCCAAAGAAAGCCAAAGTGATCATCCGAAAGATGATGGAGCACCCGCAAGGGGTTTGGTTCCGGATTCCGGTCGATCCGATCGCTGTCGGTGCGCCGACCTACTTGGACGAAATCAAAAACCCCATGGACCTTTCGACGATGCTCAAGAAGCTTGATAAGGGGACGTACAAGCGCCACTCCGAACTGATGGCAGACTTCGAGTTGATCGTCTCTAACTGCGTCCAATTTAATGGCGCTGAGAGCCAGCTGGGTTTGGAGGCTAAGGCGCTAAAGAAAGTTTGGGATCTCGAATGGGAAAAAGCTGCCAAAATGTCTTATACCGACAAACGATCACTGTTGGGTTTGTTCAATAAGTTGAACCAAGTACCTGGGTAAGTCATTTTTACAAAAAATTCTGTCAATTGTCAGCTCTTGAGCTTTGTGTGGTTCGTGGATTCTGATAATGATTGGCATTGTGCGATATTTATTATTTAGTGTTGAGTTGTTTAATGAGCCAGTCGACCCGGTCAAATACCAAATTCCTACCTACTTTGCGGTGATCGGCGGCCAACAGAACGCGCGAGATCTGGGGACGATCAAAGCGAACCTAGTGGCGGACCGATACAACAGCATTGGCGAGTTCGAGGCGGACGTCCGACTGATGCTAAAAAACTGTTTCACGTTCAATGCGCCCACGACGCCGGTGGAGGTGATCGGACGAGACCTCGAGAAGGCCTTCGACCTCGCCATGGTCAAGGTTCGTAAGGATGCCGGCTTGCCCCCTCCTGCCGGATCAGCTAACGCTGGAAATAAACGGAAGGGCGCCGAACCCGCTGCTTCCTCTAAACGATCCCGCGTCGGCTAAACCTTTTTGCCTTTGATCCAAAAACAAAAACACACACTCTACCCCTTTTTTGTCTGTTTGTATGCTTGAACTCAAAACTTGAAATCATGTATCAAGAAACTCAGTCTGATTCAAAATCATTGAAAAAAGGGAACTTTCTTCCCATCCACCCCTTTCCTGGATCTGCTACTATTCTCTTTGTGAAACTTAATGGTTGTTTTATTGCTTTTTGTGGAAACCTTTTAATGTTTTTTTTTTTGAAACTTCCTGTTGACCCTTTAATTACTATACTATTTTTCTGTTAAGTAATAAATACCTGGTATACATGTGAAGTTGAATTTGTATCTTGATTGAGAGGTCTGATTTCATTTTTATTATTATTGTTTGGTTGGTTGGTTGTTTTGCTGGTGCATACCATTACAAACAAAGGGATCATATGAATGAATGAATGAATGAATGAATGAATGAATGAAGAGATGAAGAAGGGAACGGTTTTTTTAGAAAACAAAGATTTACCTCCTTCCACATTCTTAAAAAATTGATTCACGTCCGCAAAACAAGTTGTAATTGGGCAATGGCTATGAAGTCATCAACAAAAGTCTACCCCAAGTCACATCTTTTGTATCTACTTTTTCAAGAGTTCAAGGCCACTTGTATAAGCTTCCTATATATGTCCATCACCTCCTCATGTTATCCCCATCTGCCTTGGAGTCTTGTCAACAGTCTGGCCACACTTCTCAGAGTTGAAACCACACTGACCCTGCCTCCACAGGTCAGAGTTACATGATCATTTTCCTCAACAATATTTATCAAAAATGGGGTTTTATGTCACAGATATCAGTAATGTGATTGTATTTGCATCACAATGTCACTTGTTATTATTGCCAATATCCATAACAGATTCTTTGCTGCTCTATTTTTTTTTTTTTGCAAAGTCACAACATCCACCACAGTCACACATTTATAAAAATTAGTATGATTTGTAGAGTCTTGAATCACACTATCCAACCATGATCTGATCTGCGTGTATATTGGGCCGCTATTACTCCCAAGATAGAACACTGATCAGCTGAATATGAGAGGGCAACCATTGGTTTTTGTAGGGGTCTCCCTAGGACACACAATGTTATGGAAACATTACACACTGATCAGACAGTGGGCAAATTATTTGGCGTGGATCAACATTACTTGTTCATGGATCACAACTTCACAAGATCTTTAGACATATCTTAAAAAATCCAAAAAAAAAAAAAACGTAATAGCATAAATGCTTACTGCTAATCTCTCCTAATGGTTACTTTTGTTTTGGGAAGTGGCGAATGTAGATCTTGACACTGCTATGATGCAGGCGAGATTTTTGAAAGGAGATGCGACTATCACTAAAGTCGCTGGTTTTGTTGTGGTCCGAGATGTTTCATAGAAGTTTCATGGGTACACCGGTCGAAAAATATAATTATTGTAACCCTTCTTCACTTTATCCTCCGTAGTCAAGTCCGTAGACCATAGTTACATCAATGGGTGCTTCGCTGTCAAGGAAGAAAAGAAGGAAATGCATTGTGTCACTGCCAGCTCAGGTCTACAGTATCACCGAAGCTTTCTATGATCAAATCTCGGAGTACGGAGTACTTCCCCAAGACTTCAAGGTAGCCAAACCTTCATTCAAGTGCAACTTGCACCTACTGTTTAAAAAAGACAATTCATTCTAGTCATTCTTTTTTTGCTAGGCAACATATCCGATAGCCCTACCTCTACCATTCACTCTATCCTTGAACGCAATACACATTATTATACAGCCAGTATCTCTTGGGAGGCCTTATATTTTTCCATCTGATAACACTTGACGCTCTTTATTTTTCACGCTTTACTCCTCTTGATCAAAATTTTGGAGAGCAGTTACATTCCTAGTCTCCCTATCTCGACACATCAAGTTTCGCTCAAGTCCTGTCGGCCCCAAAAGGATATAGGTAGGCCTAGAATCCGGCTGAACTGGCCTGAATTCACTCTTGCCGCCGATCTCCATTACCATTCCAAGAAGTTTGGCATTTTTTTAAAATGTTTCCAAAAATATGGATTGGCTTTCTTCTTCTTTTTATAGAGAAGCTGGTTTATACTATTCCATCCTTAAGTACGCTTCCAAAAATCGCGTCCATTGAACCTCACAGGGTAGCTTCACTCGTCACACCTATAGAGAGCGTGGGCTTGCTTCGATCCCCTTCAGCATCCTTGGAAGAAAGTAGAAATGCAATGAGCTCCCTAAACAAACTTCCTTCATCAGAAATCGATAAAACGGCGGAGAAAATTGGGATGAAACCAGCCCAAAGAACAGTCGAATCACCGGTCAAACAACCAGGCAAACAATCAGCTGAAGAATACTGTCCTTTAGTTCGACCTCAAAAAAGAAGTCTGGTTCTCGTGAGACGCGGCTGTTTCGGTCGACTAGGCTCAGGACTCATTTCTCTGTCCGACGAACTTTCAAGAGCAGGAGCCGATCTCAAGGAATTAGACAAGTTAAATTTTCGTCAGAAAATAGAATGGCTGAGAAGAAGAAGGCAAAGGCCAGCCGCATACGGAGCTTGGGGACCTGCTAAACCGCCCAGCTTGATGGCTAGAGTCCTTGGTTTCATACGCACAAAGACGCGCCGAGCGGCCGAAGTGGTTATGCGTGGGACAAGACACGCTATCAGTAGAACAAGCAGCGCGGTCGGACGAGCAGTTTCGATACCGATCTTTCTAGTTTTCAAAGCTGCATCAGAAACGATTCGATCCGTGGGTAGATTGGCCCTTCATGTTTGGAAGCATCTCGGCAAAGGGCTGGCGGCAACAGGAAGAGGACTTCAAAAGGCTGGTGACCTTATTCAGTCACCGGGTTTGTTAGCTAAAGTAATCCGTACCAAGGCGCACCGAGCGGCCATGACGGTTCTGCGTGGGACACGTCATGCGGTGAGGGTAAACTAACAGGCAGTGCTGTCGGCCGAGGAGCTCTACTTTCAGGTTATCTAGCTTATAAAGCTGGATCAGAAACCCTCAAAGCCGTCGGTCGAGTGGCCCTTTACGCGTGGAAGTATCTGGGCAAAGGATTGGCGGCCACCGGAAGAGGGCTCAACAAGGCCGGTGATGGCATTCAGGCTCATACAGCAGCTCGGCTTGCCAAGAAAATACCAGCTACACCTTCGGAAACGTCCCGTGGACTACACACCGGAATCGAGTGAAAATGGCCACCAAGGCGAGCATTCGATGTGAGATTTCTTTGAATTACTCGGAGTCGAAACCATTGCCACTTGAATTAGGATCAAAATCCTCAAAAGCAAAGCAAGACGAACACAGTACATTCACCCTCGAAGTAAAACTTTTGGTGCACACCGTAGGCAATAGACTTCACTGGGGCCGAAACTACGGACGTCAGGGTTAGAGATGGAAACCTTTGATTGGTAGTTTTCCCACCCCGTTGGAATTTGAGAATGTAGGACTCAGGAGGCGTATGCTTCAAATTCCGTATTTTGTGTAAAATTTGAAGCCCGTTGGGTACTCTCAGCTTGTATATAGAAGTTTTCATCAACCTTTGTGCTAGCATCGCTTTTGATGACAAGGCTTGTTGTCGTTACTCATGTGAGATCTGGGAATGTATTATTTATCTTGTTTGAGCCAATAAAAGGATTGCGGGTTTTCTATACCCATTATTACACTAATTTAAATGTCTGGAGAGTGGTGAGATAAATATTTTCTTAAAAGGCCCTGGCAAGGGAATACTGAGTTTAGCCCAGGAAAAGTACAAGATGTTTTCCTCAGACTCGCAAACCACGAGATTTTTATTGAATAATTTCTGCATGGGCTAACCTCGCCCAGGTCTTACAGCCACTGCTGACAACTAAATATGTATTCGGACAAACTGATCCTGATCCTATCTGCATCTCGTGAGACACAATCCCAAAGTGAACTCAAAGTAATAGCAAATGGAAAGCATATAGAAAATATGGAAGTAGCATTAGGTTTCGTTATGGTTGGTTGAACATTCGTTGAAATCTTTGCGCTGCAATGTTGCTACTATGCTGCTACCATACTTGATGACGAGATGGCTACAAGGAGAGATCAGAGTCAGGTCGCTTGTTTCTTGTGGTCGGAAATGTTTCATGGACTCGGATCCAAGATTACCCCTTCTTGGATTTCACTTTATCGCCCGACTCCGTAGTTAGGTCCATGGAGGGTGTAGTTACAAAACCAATTATAAAAATGAACGCGTATCCACCTGCTTGGCTGTGAAGGAGGAAAATGGAATCACGTCGGATGAGGTTTATACGTACACCTTCACCAGACTACATATTTATTTGGATCAGGCCTTGGAGCACCATATACCGTGCATCAATCCTCAAGCTTGCCAACATTCATTGCAATTTTTCATCCAACTTGCTTCTTCGAGACTTCGACTTTCTTGAAAGACAAGCCAGTATAGCCATTCTTTTTTACTAAGTACATCCGGCAACCTTACCCCAGATACATTCATTCTGCATATGTTGAGTGCTTACAGCTCCATTTTCTCCCATACCTTACTCGTGAATTATAATCTTATTTCCAAATTATCACAACTTTGATAACATCCGCCACTCACTCAATTTTACGTACATACCTTCGTTTCACTATTTTGGGAAGCAGTTAAATTCCTAATCCCCTAATTGTTCTACATCCTTCCTCGTTCCAGTTGGTCAAAGAAAGCATTATCTGCCCGGATTAAATTCTTATATTCGACTTTGTTACCTGTCCAGTTTCCATCCAGCAAACCATACATATTTCTAGAATGAACCCAGGCAAAGGGATTATCCTTCTAGTTTTGTGTATGAACAATATCAATGCCGCTATAGATGTAGACTTGGCTTCAATGACGATTAAACCCCTAGAGGAGGCCAGTCAGGCCAAATATGAATCAGCCGCATCAGTGGATATGGGAAAAAGTGGAAAACTATTCAAGAGCCCGGAGAACTACATTGCCTCGGAAAATGAGAGAATGGCAGAAGCAAGAACAATTCAAAACTCATTCATGAAGCAAGCCGAAGAACCAGTTGAACAAACAGTCGAAAAACCAGTCGAAAAGACACGAGAGAAACCAGCCGAAGAATCCTGCTCGCGACCTCGACATCAAGTTCTCGTTAGACGCGGCGGTTGTTTCGCCATTCTAGGCTCAGGACTTCTTGCAACGTCTAAGGGGCTGGCGAGAGCAGGAGCTGGATTGCAGCGTTTCGATCAATTAACCAATGCTCAGAAACTAAGATGGATGCGAATGAAAACGCTTAATGGAATAAAATATGCAGCGATCGGTGTGGCTGCCACAGTGGCACTGCCGGTGGTAGTTGTAGGTGGCTTATCAGCACTGACTGTCAAAGCTGCATGGGAAATGCTCAAGCTTACGCGTAAGGGGGGGCTTCACTTGTGGAAGTACATCGGGAAAGGATTGGCGGCAACGGGTAAAGGATTACAAAAAGCTGGACATGGTATGCAGGCTCAAACAGCTGCACGGCTCACCAAGACAATCCCGCCTCCGCCTCCCGAAGCGACCCGAGCAGGGTAGTCGGAAAAAGATGATAATCAAACCTGATGTTCCTCGAGGCTGGCATGGTCGGCTCACTAGTGATGCAGACCTTTGTAATTAATATGAGTTTCAACCAAATCCTCCAATGAAAACATGAAATAGTTGACAAGAATGGACAACACAACATACAAACGCTGCTACAAACCAGAGGTCGATTTGCCAGCGGACGGTCAAACTACACAATCTGAATACATAATTTGATCAGTGGTCAGGCACACGTTGTTCCGGCATTGTACACCCGCAGTATGCTCATCGAGCGATCGGACCGGCCCGTCACCACTTCATGCCGGTAGTGACGTCCTCTCACCCAAGAAGAATATATTCCACTAGGTCGGAACCCAGGGTTACAGGGTTGAGGACCTTCTTGATCACCTGTCGGCTGACACTACATATTTGAAGTTGAAGAACACTGTTTTGCAAAAGGCATTCATGTGCATCCATTTTGTACAAAAGCTGGAGATGATTGGCTGGTTTCGGTTGACAGGAAAATTTCACCGACAGTTCGCGAATCGCAGCTCAAATCTACTATTTGTGTATTGATTAACTTGGATGACCGGGTTTGTTGTAGTTACTGGTATGGTGATATAGAACTTAGGAATACATTCCACCCAGAAGATTTGATAGGCGTATACCTTCATGGGGCACATAAAGTTGTTGAGATAAAAAGGGGTGGAGAGTGAAAAAGAAGGGTTTTGTGTTTCTAAAACACCCCAGTTGATCTTTTTTCTGCGTGCTGAATCTGGGCCTGCAGCCCTTGTGTCACCTTTTGCAAGATGAAAACTTCATTTCTCACTATACATTTCAGCAATTACAGCTTCACTTATGAAGGGGGTGCTCATCAAGGTGAGATGATTTAGACCCATTAGTTGAGGAGCACAATTTTGCCTCTCTCAATGAGAAAAGTCAAATTGTATCTCGAGGGCTGCTGAAACTTGTGCAGAATTCAAGGCAAATGGGATTAATGAGAAGATGTAAGTAAGTTTAGATTTTGCCCTGGTTTAGTTGGCAGAAAATTCATCGAAATCTTTGCACTGCGATGCTGCTCCTAACTATACTTGATGGATAATAGTCCAGGCGAAGAGTCGGCAGGGACTCAGGATACATTTTGTCCGACTGTCTGTCCCTCTTCAAACCATTCCCACCGATCGAAGGCGCGGATAGTGTATTCGTCCAAATTTCAAGAGATGTCTTTCGTATTTTCTTCAATCTTTGGTCGCCAAAAGAAAGTAAAAAAACAAAACCAAAAAGAAGGTGAGGGTGGAAAAGCCCAACAAAAATGATTTGACGACAGTGGGATTCGAACCCACGCCCGAAGACCGCCGGATTACGGCCAGGATGCTTGTGGACGTCCCAGCTACCTCCTTAAGACGGCGCCTTAGACCACTCGGCCATGTCGCCATTACGTAGGCCAGCAGATTTGCAGTTGGCGTCTACAGCCTCAAGGATCCTTCCTCCAAGCTTCTAGATGGCATCTGTTTGACTTTCTGGGAATTTGAAACTTGGTGGCAACAATGGCTTGAGTTATAAGATGATTGAACAATTCAAACAATAAGAAGCCCCAGCTGATCTTTCGTCTGCGTGCTGAATCTGGGCCTACAGCCCTTGTGGCACCTTTCGTAAGATGAAAACTTCATTTCTCACCAACAGCTCTACCTGCGAAGGGAGCTCAACAAGTTGAGATGATCAAGTCCATTAAATAAGGAGGATAATTTTGCCTCTCTCAATGAGAAAAGCCAAATTTTATCTCGAGGTCTGCAATGTATGCAGGATTCAAGGCAAATGAGATTTTGACATATGAAATTGATGAGCAGGAGACTCGTGATATTTCCACCCTCCTTGAGTGGGACTGTATGAAACTCTCTTCGGTTTGATTTCTTAATCCGAGTCGGTCCTTGTTTGGGTGTGATGAGTGAAGTTGATGGAAACCGAAAGTCTTGACGTAGGGCCTCGGGAGGAGAGAAAAGGGCGCACGGCAATTGATGTGGTTTTTGACCCAGAAAGCGTGGAAGTGGTCCCCTCAACCGTCCCCGGAGAGTGACAAGTTTCGCGGCTTGCTCCAACGACCAACCAGGCCCCTGACGCTACTTCGCCGGATGGCTAGTTCATCGATGAGAGCAATGCGACTAGGCTGATTAAGTTATGACACTCTCGTCCACGAGGTTTCATGGACGCCATTCAAGACTTCGGGTGAGTTAAAGCAACAAAAACCGACTGGTCCTCGGTTGATTTGGCCTCCGTAGCTAGGTAGGGCGTCTGATTGTCTTGAACTTGGAGTAGGAGGCCGACAAAGGGGGGAGACAGCGTTTCACTGTTGTCACCCGGATCGTGCTAACGAGGCTTCCATGATGATCAGAGTCAGAGTTCCAACGCTCGAAGCTGCAATCTTTACCCCAATTTCCGACCAACTTCCTGTTTCAATTCATATCTCAGATAATTCATTCCACAATTTCCAGTCATTCTTTATTGTTAGGCACATCCGATATCTTTACCTGGTAGTTTCTTCTGTCGTAGTGATTGAAGATCGATTGCACATAAATAGTACAATTCTACTACCTAGGACGCCTTATCGCCACGCTATCAAAATTTTGGAACCATTTCAATCTCACTCGTTAACCATTAAATTATACTCCTTTCATTTGACTATTTTTGGGGTAGCAGATCAATTCTTATTCTCCCTGTTTCCATCAGATTACATTTCTCGAAGGCAACTCCCAAAAGCCGATACCAAAGCTCACGACTGGGGTGAATTGACCTATATCCGCCTGTCTACTTTCCCTACCCTGGCAGTAAATTTGATAGACTGAAAATAATGAAGACGTGGAGATGGCTTTGCCTTATTCCACTGTTTACAGAGGATATCCAGGCTGCTTTCCCTCGTATTAGCGCAAACGTAGCGGAGGGTTTGGGTGTGGCCCCACATTCAACATCACTGGTCAAGCCCTTCAAAGTGGTGCCGATTGATCCACCAGGCGCTCCCGTAGGAAATCTCGACGACATTCAAAAACAAGTGGAGCAACTGCACAGAGTTCCTTCATTAAGAAATTCAAGACCGCAGGAACAAAGCATGAAGATTACAAAACCGCTCGAAGGAGAAGCCCAAAGCAAAGACGCAGAATGCCTTCACAATCGATGGCAAAGAAGAAGCCTGGTTACACTCAGACGTCGCGGTTGTTTGAATACAGTAGGCTCAGGGCTACTCGCGGCTTCTAATGGACTCGCGAATGCAGGAGCCGGATTGCAGCGTTTCGATAAACTAACTGCTCGTCAGAAATTAGGATGGTTTCTCAAAAAAACGAAAAACGGAGTGAAACATACGGCTTCTTTCGGTGTAAAGGTCGCAGTATTGCCGATTAAAGGACTGGCCTTCTTAGGAAGAAAGACGTTCGAAGGAGTTATGGCGGTTCTGCGTGGGACAGGTCGCGTGGCCAAAACAACAGGCAGCGCGGTCGGCAAGGGACTTTTCATTTCAGGATACCTAGTCTATAAAGGTGGACTCAACACGCTCAAGCTGATAGGTAGAACAATTCTTCACGGCTGGAAATATTTCGGCAAGGGATTGGCGGCAACTGGAAGAGGGCTCCAAAAGGCTGGTCAGAAAATGGAGGCTCAATCAACGACACGACTGACCAAGAAAGTATCGCCGCCGCCCACTGAACCAGCGCGACAAACGAAGAATGGAATCGAGCGAAAATGATTGTGAAATCAGTGACTTATGTATTACCCCAGGCTTTCTTTCACTCTATGCCCTATGATGCCGTTCTTTTGAATTCCACTAAGTGTGCGGAAGAAATGGACAACACACGACCCGACACGAGCACTTTTATAAAGGACAATTTGCAAGCGGACAACCTAAATGTAAATACAAGACTAGCTGTCAGATAGACACATTTCCACTAGATGGCAACGTATGATTTTGTACTTAAATTAGAGGCTTCACCATCATGTGTTGTAGCTGATGCTTGCCATGTCCTACTATCGCAACGGCATCTATTTTTTACCGGTTTACTTTTCTTGAATGTAATGCAAAATGGGGAGGAGAAGCATCGTTTTCCCAGCTGCTCATGTTGCTTTCTGGAAGGGCGAAGCAGGCACTGTCTCTACTCTCTAGACGCAGTGAACATAGGAAAATGGTGTCGTTCACTGAATAATGTTTCATCAGGTTTAACGAAATCTTCCTTACAATCACATACAACCTTGCTATTCATTTTCAGGTGTTGAAATAGCCCTTTGATACAAATTCAGACGGGTTAAATTGTCAAGAAGGTCTCGGTAAGAAATTGACAACTTTTGAAGTAATTACTGATAAGACTTTAATTAATTCGATAAGAAAGCTATGGCAAAGCTTTGTTCACGAAACATTATCTTTTCTTTACCTTTTCATCATGAAAATTGTTGGTTTATTTCGAAATCATTTCTCTCTATCATACTTTGTTGTGGATCTCTTTTCCCCCTTTTCATTCTTCTTTATCGATATGTATTTGTTCTTGTATTATCATTATCCTATTCGAAGTAAAGAACTATTTCCTTTATAAAATTTATTATCTTTTCGAGTTCCATTTCGAGAGTTCATCTTCAATAAATATAAACTACCCCCCTTCAACTCTCAACCAATCTCTTACACTTGACTATGCAATCTAATCCCATCCATCATCTCTCACTGACTTGTTTCAATGGACTACTAGTACAAATCAATAGCAATTTTTGAAATAAAAAAGTGATCTTATAAGCAGAACTGGTGCATCACTAAACAGAAATCTAGCATGATTGTCTCAGTGTTGACTCATGTCCTTGGTATTGTAACTTGTATGTATTGAAACATTGGATTGGCTTACACTTTGAGACAATGATATGTTTTTATAATTTTCCATAAATAACGGTTTTGCAAAGGAATTGCATTCAAGCAATCAGAATCTTGTTTCCCTTTGTTTCACTTTAATTTCTTGCTGGGTCTGCTAGAACTGAGAAATGTGACAACCTTTTCTGAAGCCTGGAAAATTAGCTCTAAACCATGTTAACATGTGTGAGTTCACTATGTGAATGTGACATAGAAGCAAGGACCCACCTTTTTTGTTTGATTGTGTGGGGTTTTCATCCCAACAATCTATTCCTCTTTCTTTGTCCTGTTGAACAATCTATGGAGCTGAACCTACATGTGTAGTGTATTGACATTGTCTCAAATGTTGTTAACTTCGACTATCAAATCAGTCATTGCGTGGTCATCTTTTTCAGTTTCTGACTTCCCTCACCATTGATGGATGTTAATCGGTCTGACTTATCCTTGCATCAGGACCTGGTGCATATTGATACTGAGGTTTCCCTTCTACAATCTTTGAAACCAGGAAGCACACCGTTTGGAATAAGACACGATCAATCCGCTCCTTCATGCATCAAGCCTGATAACACATCATGATACAGTCAAATGTAATACCACAGAACAAGAAAACATTGTAGAAGACCGAAGTGAGGGGCTGTTTCAACATGTAAAGATTGGCCAAATTGATCTGCTTTATGATACGTCAGGCCAGATAGTACAGCACCATCATAATACAAACACAATGTTAGGGGAACAGCTGCATTTTTGGGGTGGGAATGGAATCGATATACAAAATGTTTATACAGCTGATGGAAAGAAGAGAGTTCTACGATTCAACTTGGGACTTCATTCAATTCTGTATTATCAACTGCAATACTCTTTGTGCAGTTACTTGTTTTATCTATGTGGGTCCAAGAATGATGATTAGTATCAAAGTCATCTGGCCCTGTATGTATCATGGGATGAACGGAACAGACGACACTCACATATTCCTACCAAGCGACGTGATAATTCAAACATGTTGTTTCTCAATGAAATAATGATGAATTGTGCATTTTTTGTCTAAGTCAGATTTTTTTTAATCAAAAAACGCGAAACCTGTGAGTTTTTATCTCGTTGGATGATAATTCACAGGAATATCATTGTACTGATATGAAGAGGTAAACAAACTCAACTCTGTCCTTTATATAATTTCCGATTATCGAGACGTTTCTAAAATCGAGTGCCTATATCATAAAGAGATGTAACATAAAGATCAGTTGGAGTCGTCGCCGAAGTTGGCATAAAATCGAAAAGTAGTCATCAGGACGTACAGCATCAATTTCATCCATGAAGTATAGAGGTGTAGGTTTGAAGGCGTGTAAAGCGAAAACTAATGCCAAAGAACTCAACGTCTTTTTTTTGTGCGCGCAGCGTGAAAACAAATGTAAGGCTTAGTACCTGATAGGTTTTGATCGACTTTTATTTTGAAGGAAGGAGAATAGGAATATAATCATGAATTCCGATTCTTACCTTTTCGCCGCCACTCAAATTTGATATATTTTTCCAAGACTTCTTGGGTGGCATAACACTGAAAATAATGCCTTCACTGAATGGATCCAGACTGTCAACCAATTCCAGTTCAGCGTTTCCCCCCAGTGTGATCATCTGAAAAGCAGTTCTCCGGTTTGATCAGTCGTAAGATATCAAATTGCCGTGAACGGAGTTCATAACCACTAAGACGACAGAGTCATTCACGCACTTGGTACATTTCTTTTAATTTCCCACTAATAATTTGAAACCCCCACATGAACTCTTCCAGGCGTTGTTGATTAAGATCTTCAAGTAATTGCTTAGCCTCATCTCGTGCTCTCGTCGTTGCTTCAAGATCCGCAGCGCGTGCCATGAATTCCGCCTCTCTCTGAGCATACTCTTTCAAGACGCCCAAATCCGGAGATGCTCGTTCCTGATCCTCTGTAAGCCCACGAGTCAGACTCATAGTTCAACTATTTTTCAAATATTGACTGAACATTTGCCCACCCTCTAGTTTAGCTACCTCAGCCTTAGTCAATTCAGCATCGAAATCCTCGAAATCGGCAGCAGAGAATTGTTTTAAAACTTGTGCGGCTTCTCGTCGCTCTAACTCTTCTTCATCATCTTCGCTATAGTCGAAATGGGTCAGCTCCCCAAATAATCCGGAAAGCAAACGAAGATCAAGCCTTTTCGAAACCACAGTAACTCACTCGTCTTCTATCACGTTTAATTTCAAACTGGCTTGTTTTTCAGTCCAATGTTTTACGTTAGCAGCTGATTGAGCTAGTGCGCCTTCCATTTTTTCTCTCTGTTGCTTCAACTCAGTCTGTAGGTTGGAAGTCACGGGGAGGACATTCCAGCAACTAATCAACCAAAGTAGCCCGTGTGTGGAATAATACAATTGAAATGCTTACCTGCTTCAACTGGAACACGTTCATAATCTTCAATTTTTCTTTCCGTCTTTCTTGAATATCCTGAAGGCGCTCTTTTTGCTCTTCCAACGCCATTCGCGCTTGATCGACTGTATCCTTCATCGCTTCCGTCTCTGAGCTGTTGCTATTCACCTTCTCTTCCAGTTCGGAAAGTTCACCTTCCAGTGCTTCCAGTTCAGCTGTCGATTTCTGTAAAGTTTTCTCATGCTTGCTGGTATCTCTTTCGGCCTTGGCCCTTCCAACCTCGGCCTTCGTCAGACGGTTGTTTGCATGCTCCACCATTGCTTTGAGATCCTTCACTTTGGCTTGCTGGGTTCGAAGCTTAACTCCACCAACCTCGAGGATCTTTTCTTGCAAGTCTTTGATGCTCTGTTCAATCTTTCCAGTTTTCCTTCGGAGTTCCTCGAGTTCAGCCTCGAGTTTCTCCATGACTGATTCCAGATGTTTGACTTCTGCGTCATCGCTTGATCCTGCTCGAACTTCCGATCTTTGGGAATACGACATCCCAACCGAATAAGGGCAAAGGTTTTGGCCGCGGTGCGGTGAATCAGGACAGTGAAATAAAATGCCCATAAAATGAGAAAACCTCATCAGCAACACGCTTGTTGTTGAAAGAGAGGACAAGAGTGATAAAAGTTGTGCATACCCAAGCTCCAAGATTGTTTTCTTTGCTTCTTCTTTTCGCTTTGTAGCCCCACTAACATCCATCTCTAGCTTCGTGATTCGCATCTCCATCTTAGGTAGTTCAGATTGGAGTCGCCTCAATTCAGTCTGGATCTCGGATCGGTTTCCGCTATGCTTTGCGATCTCCGCTTCGGCAAGGGCAGTATCCTTTTCAAGGCGTGCGACGACTTCCTCGGTGATTTCTGTATCATTGCTCGTCATCTTTGAGCTCATTAAACCACGCGCGACCCGTGTACCTCCGCCAGACATCGTGCCAGAGCTATCGATCAACTTTCCATCCAGCGTGACAACTCGCCATCGTTTTCCAGATCCGTTTCCAAAAGCGATCCGATTAGCCTGTGTCAGATCCTTAGCTACCAAAGTATCCCGAAGAACATGGTAGAAGGCAGCTTTGAAATTCGGATCCTTGGCGGTCACCAGATCCACTAGTCTCGGTGCACCTTCGGGTGTAGCAGGAGCAGCCGCAGGCGCAGCGGTTTTTAATGCATCAAGGCAAATGATCACGGCGCGGCCAGCATTGGTTTTTTTGAGATGTGCTAGGCATTGCTGCCCAGTATCAACGGTATCGCATACCAGATTATCGAGCTGGGGACACGCAGTAGAGATCGCGACATCATACATATCATCGATCCGACCTAGATCACCTAGTCGGCCGGAGAACCCCGGCAGTCGACCTTGCTTATGAAGTTTAGAAAGACTCTTCAGTACCTCGTTTTTGGATGTATTTGTTGTACGTGTGGTTTTTGCCTCATCAGCTTTCTGTCGGGCCGTTGTGAGCTTCGTCCTTAATTTTGCTTCTTCATTATCCAATTTCTGGTAGTGTTTCATTCGTAATCAATCAAATTTGGGCGCGCAAGGAGAGTCCAAAAGAAGGTATGACTCACCTTGAGTTCTGTTAAAGCCCCGTTGATCCCCTCCTGGTACTCAGCATGCTCTTGTTTCAATTGTTTCAATTCGAATTTCTGTTATGCAAAGAGTACATGATAAGTTAGTTGCAATCGAGCTCTCATTAATTTTCTCCATGAGACTTGGTGGGTGGTAAATCACTTTGGCCTTGGTTTCCTCGTCGATTCTAGTGACCGTCTCTTGGGCAGAAGCGAGGGCAGAGCTGAAATCAGTGGCCTTCTTCAAGAGAAGATCTCTTTCACTTGTTGCCAAGTCGAGCGCTGCCTTTTTACTGGTGACTTGAGCCGCCCATGGTGCTAGTTCGGCTTGCTTGATCTCGATTTGGTCAGCAAAGACCTGCGTTTTATCTGATTTTTGTAACGATGGTCTGGTCAATGCCTATTTAACTGGAAAGAAACCTTGTCTACTCACCTTTCAGGGAATCTCGTATCTGATCCAGCTGTACTTCTTCTTTCTCGATTAATTTCTCTTTAGACTCTACTTCTACCTTGAGTGTCTCAATTTCCTCTTGCCCGTCACGGATTGTCGCAGCAGCTTCTTTCAAGATGTGCTCGTCCTGAATGATTGAATTTCAATTTGAGCAATGCTTTTGGGCTCAAAGCATGATGGATTGTCAGATCGACAAATGACTTACCTCGGCAATGCTTTTTTTCAGTTTCTTCTGCTTGGTCTTCCCATGCTTCATCTTCTCGGTAAGAGAGACTAGCTCTCGCTCTTTGCGACCCAGCTCTTTTACCAAGGCATCTGTTTCAACCTCAACTTCTTTGTACTTTCCCTCCTCTTGTTCCAGCTCGACTCTCAACGCTTCATTCTCTTGTAGATCTCCCGCATGTGCCTCCTCATTTTCTTTAACCTGGTTATCGATTGCGTTCATCGAACATCCTATCTTTTCGAGATTGGTCTGTCCCGTATGGATGTAAAACTGCCACAGGAGGTTTTGCTGCTGTACAAGGGTGTTCATCCTCGCAAGATATTCGTCTGCGACCTTTTTACGTGCCCCAAGAGCCACCTTTTCCCGTTCGACGAGCTTGACACGTTCCAATTGCTGAGAGCGTTTATTAGCAACCTCTTCCAAAGTCTGTTGAGTTTGCTCGATTGGCTCTTTAAACCTGTTGGTGCCAATGATGTCTTCTAAGTATTCCAGGAGGCCTTCATCGTGGGCCGTCGTAGCTTTTGGTTTCATTTGTGCAATCGATTCTACTTCTCCTTGTAAGATCAGAAATCGTTTATGATCAAGGTCGATGCCTTTCGCCTTCAACAAAGTTGTCACCTCTGCGAAATTGGAAACCTTGCCGCTGGTAGGTGAAACAGAGAAAAGTTTCGAACAATCAGTAGAAATAAATGGAAAGGTCTCGGAATGTCTGCTTACTCGATCGTATACTTGGACGTATTGTTCCGGGTAGCTATACGTGCCACGACCAATTTGGAATTCGGGATAACATTAAATTCATCGGGACCATCCTGTTGTTTATTTTTCGAGTTGTTCAGTGGTAGAGGTGCCAAATTAGTAGATTATAAAATCCAGGGAAGCACTGACCAAGTCAACGATCGTCTTGAACCATACTTCTACCGAGCAGCTTTCAAAGCCACCGGGGGGAGATGCTGATGAATTGTGGATTAATTCCGATACTGTACCCCATACCGAGAAGAAAGACAATCAATAATTGAACCAGTCAACATCAAGATTGAAGTAAACACAGAAGCAGGCATACGTACGTTTTCCTTGGCGCATCTTTGTGGCTTTAAAACCAAACACGAATAATAATGCGTCGATGGTATTGGATTTCCCGGAGCCGTTTGGACCAACAATAGCTGAAAAGGACTAAAAGTGGCAAGAAGTTTGGCTTGAGTTGAGATGGTGGCTCGGATTTTGACGAGTACGCATGAGCAAACATAAGAAAAATGAGGGTTAAAACCTTATGGAATGGCCCAATAACTTGTCTGCCAGCGTAACTTTTGAAGTTGACCAGTACGATTCTGTCGATCACAAGCCGTGGTTCGCCTGCCCGATTCAAATCTTCTAGGGCTAACTTCATGGGTGTCAGCGGCCTGCGTCTCGCAGGAGGTGATTTGGGTGGTGTGACTGGTTGAACCGGTGTTTGGGCGACGGGGTTTGGTGTGGGAAGAGAGTCTTTTTCTTTATCCCCAGAGTCTATTAAATCAGTCTCATTTCGCTCCTGTTCTTCAGTACGCCCATGTGAGTTGACCCTGGACATCGTGCTAGGGGGTTCGTTTTCTTTATTCCCAGATTCGAGCTGTTCGTCATCAGTTTGCCCCGGTCCCTCGTTACGCTCGGCAGCATCACTTTCTTTTTCATTTCCAGCTTGATGATCATTCAGTTCACCTTCTGTTTCAGCTTCTTTGTCCGTTTCTTCCTGTTCGTTTTCTTGTTCGACTGGTTCCTGCTCCGTTTCTTGTTTGTTTTTTTCTATTTCTTCGGTTTCTTCGGTTTCTTCTTCTTCTTTTTCTTCTTCTACTTCGCCACCTCCTTCTTCTTTTTCCTCTTCCTCATTGGTCGGATCCTCTGTCTTTACAACTACATCTTCTGCTTCTTCCTCCTCATCAGGCGTTATACTTCTCGCTCTTGATCTACTTCTAGTATGTGTGGATCGCCGCTGTCGCTTTGCAGGTTGCGGAGGATCAGGATTTGAGCTGGTTGCGCGTGTTTTCTTGACTCGTTTCCCTGAATTGTTTTTGGTTTCATTATCCTCATTAGTAGTTGATGGTTCCTGGGATCGAAGAGATCTAGTCGACCGTGAACGGGGCAAAGTGGTTGATTCTTTGGGTTTTTTAGTAGTGGTTGTGGGTGGTGGTGGTTCATTGGCTGCTTCGGTTGTTGGTGTCCTCGTTGATCGGCGAGTTGGCCTGGCCATGATGGTTGAGGAGGTTCTTGACAGTTGTTGGGGGGGTGGTGGTGGTTGTATGCAGGCAAATCGATGGCGCGTTTGAGTCGGAGAGGGCTAGGTATTATGTAATCGAATCGGTAGCCCCCCTGACGCGATATAAGCATATCACAGTCTGATGCAATACATACTCGATCATCCGAAATTACAGTTGCCACTCAGCTCCAAAATTTCCATCCACCTGACATCCAAGCAAATGTTTGTGTGGTTTCCTTAGGCTTCACCCAACTTGATACACTTTGATAGAATGATTCTTGCTGTTCACAAAATGAAGATAATTATGCAAGTCAATCAATCACCCACTGAAAGAGCTTGATCAGGATGTGATTTCTCAACATTAAAAACTACCAACACTTAGAGCAACTCCACTTTAGGGTGTAAGATGCAAGTGTAAAAATTGCAGGATGCATCCCCAACTTTTATTTTGAAAGTTCAAGTCTTGGCTGACCTGCACCCAAGGCAGGTAAACTGGGATGTGAAAGAGGACCCTGGCAAGTGTTTCCAGAGGTGCCTAACATAGACACCAATTGCCCAAAAAACAGTTTGGCTTGCAACAAAACATGAAATTGAGATTATTTTAACATGGGTTTATGTACATGCAGGAATGAAACAGATCTTGTCAGATTCTCCCTCACAGGGATGAGTCATCAAGCAAGCGTCGCAAGAATCTTGCAGATGACAAAGTAAAACCTAGTAAGCCTCATCGTTTAGGTTACAGAATGTCGGAAGGGATGAAACTGATCTCAGCCTCTTCTCTCCCAGACACAGGAGATGAAACGATCAGCCAAAATCCATGGGAACGAAGCCCACACGAGTTGCCCACCGACAGCAGCGACAAACCGCCAGTGAACGAGGAAGCAAGCACAGCACCCTCGTGAGTATTTAAGCAGGCTTCATCTCAGCCCGATCCCAGGCATCGAACTAATCATTCGCCACTTGCCCTCCAGCTCAATCATAAACAGAATCACCAACCAACCAGAACTACTCGCTAGGCTCAGCCTCAAGACCAACGAGTAAGTTCAGATTCATGAGCAACTTAGACATGTACAATAAAGCTAACAACATCGTACCACCTGATTGAACAGACTCTCGTCAGGACAGACAAGTGCGAATTGACCGTCAGGATCAAGACAAGCTATTCCAGCCTCACAGTAAAGTAAATATATTTCATCAATAGAATCGTGATGAAGATGAACAAAGCTAATGTCATCTTCATCATTGTCAGACACTGAGGCTGTAGCCCATGTGTCTACAACCTGTACTTAACCAACAAACACATGTACTGTAGTGTATTGGTTAAGTACTGTGTTATGACTTTGCCTCACCAACACACTTGGGTTCAAACCCCAATTATGTAATCTTATCTTTTTATTATTTTATTTTATATTTTTATGCTTTAAGTAATTCCACGGAATTACTTAAGTATTCACCTCTGTATTAATATACATATTTTATATACATACAGTTTGAAATCTTAATCATCTCTCTATACACTGTAATTAGAGAGATGACATCATTCTTTCTCCTTTGAGTTTGAATGACATCATTTCCTCCACTTTTAGTTTAAAGCTTAATTTAAATACATATTTTGATCATTTATGATTATATACATAAATGATCCTCTGCAGGCCTCACCGGTCTCACAGGCAGGTTGACCCCTGCCTTTGTAATACTTAAGGGGGAGGTCTTCTTCCCAAGAACCCTCCCCCCAGAGATTATTACCATACAACCCGTGCACCTTACATACAATTGTGAGTGGGGTTATCATTTAATCTATTACTATCCACCCCCCTTATCCTTATCCTTATCCTTATCCTTTATCTCATCCCTAGGCTACAGTAAAGTCAATACTGTAGACTAGAAGAGAGTTGATCATTCCTCTAAAGCCCGGCGCTGCGAAGACCTTACCGCAAGCGTCCCCTACATTTACAGGGAGCTTAACCCCTCCGCTTTCTAGCGTCGAGGCGAGGTTTCTAATCCATTGGCTGCTAGTACCCCTAGCAGTTATAGTGTGACCCGTAAACCCCATCAACGCCAGGTCACATAAGAGACCGGCGCTGACAATCATCGAACAGACCATAAACACACATAAAAGAACAAAAAACAATTCTATCTTCATCTACCTCTTTCTCTCTCTAATTTTCCCTTATCTCTCAAGTCGCCTTGTGATTGCAATACAAGACCTACAACCGATCCTTCTGCTCTTAGGTAATTCTACTCTCTCAGCATCAATCTCTTATCGAGCATAGTGATTCCTTGTATTTAGCAGATGATCTGATAAGCAATAAAGACTCTTAGCTGTCTCAATTTTTACAGATTTACAGTCTCGACCCTTCGAGCAACAACAACCTCAAATCGAACAACATTCAGCTAAGGAGCAGAACAATCGAGATGGCCAACCCAACCGCAGCCGCTTCCACCACCACAAACACTACCAAATCCAAGGAGGAGAAGGAAGTCATCATCATTCCCACGTTCAACGGGAATAACTTCTCGAACTGGCAAGCAACATTGAGCGCTTACCTCGAACTCAAGAAATTGTGGTACACGTGTGAAAGTGTCAGCCTTAGAGCCAGCCAAGCTGGCCAAAAGACTGCTTAAGTCCTCCTTTTTCACTAAAGTCCCTACTATAACTTTTTCATCTTAATCTTTTATTACTTTCTGACTTCAGAAATGAATTGCTCTGTTAATTTTAACCCTAGTCACCACTACACACTTTTGCACTACTCTTCTCCTTCATAGACTTTGTAATATTTCACAGTACCTTGTGAAATATCAACCAAGTTGGAATTCCAACTCTCTACCACATGTACATGTTGTGATTATGTAATCCAACTCTGAAAATTTTCTCAGTAGACACTGAGTTCGCATTTTCAGGATCTTCAAGCTTCAGACCCATCCAGAACCAACTCAGACCAGAAATCAGCAAACCTCAACTTGGATTCACCGCCGTACCATCGCCGTGTTATCGTTTGGAGTCCTTTACTCTTTGGAATCTTCCCACTCTCAGTGTCAGGATCACCAAATAGTAAGTCATTCCATCAAGTCTAGCTTGCATCTTTCTGCTAAGTTTCTTCTCTGTCTCTCTGAAGGAACCCTTCATTCTGTTTCTACTAAATACCTGCCTCCATCATCATCACATCAATCCAAGTCTTCTTTAAGTCATCATTATTCTTTGTTTGGTGGTATAACTGAAAACCACATAGGTTTACCTTTAAAGAACCTTGATCTTTGATCTAAAAAATAGTGGTTGGATTGACATATCAATACCAATAGCCCTTCTCAGTTTCATTTGATTAGGAGGCGTAGATTTATTCCGCTAAAATAACAGCCATCCTCTTAAGGAAAGTAAGACTGCATTAAGACTTGACTTTAAAACAAATAAACAACAAAAATATTATTCATTTCTTTTCTCTTTCTCTTTCTCTTTCCTTTCCTCTCCTTCTAGTTGTATTTCCTTATCCCCCAGAAATACATCTAGTTTTGCCCCCCATCCTTGTGTCCTGCTGTCACTTTTGAGACCCAGGCTCACAATTGGGGGCCTCATCGGGAAATATATTCCTTAGACCTCTCAAAATCATACTTTCAAACTTTAATCTTCATTATCAGGCCTCTAAAATTTATATATAAAAAAAAAAAAATATACATATATATATATAAAGAAAAAAAAACATATCTAAACTCTCGATATTCTTTTTTATTCTCAAAAAAAAAAAAAAAAAAAAAAAAAAAAAACTTTAATTCTCAAAATTCCATCGCGAAGCGCCCAACAAAATTTTTTCCATCGCGGAGCGCTCGCCGAAAACGTTTTCTTCATCTCTACAAACAAATTCTTTTTGTTTCCAGTACGCGCTTAACCTATAAGCCGTGAAACAGATAGATCGATCCTAATCTCTCGCACTTTTAATTTTTTTTTTGAATCTTGGACTACCTCGTGGAATCTGCGAAGTGAAGACTAGCAAGCGTATCATACCCAAGTCTCCACCTGAATTGCCTGGAATCTTATCGTCCGATCTCTCTTCGATCCCATCGGACTCAGAAACGGACCGCGATCTCTTAGCGAACCAAATTCTAGCTCCTCCAAAAGAAGGCAACGTCATCTCTTCGACTGAGTGGACCCCGATTGCCACTTCCAATACTCCTAGGACTAGAAAACAAAAGACGAAGAAACGACCAAGCGAAACAGAACCTACTAAATTCCCCGAGTGGACGCCTGACATCAGCACTTATCTCTCTAAGAAGCCGAAACCAAAAAGAAAACCGAGAACACAGAAAAAAACAGGTACCTGTCGTTTCTGAATTTTTTTTTTTCATTTTTTCGCTTCAGTTCTTTTCGATCAACAGATAGGTTAATCGACTGTAGAATAGAGAACGAACTGCTTATCCGCGTTTGTTTCCCTTGCTTGGACTACCACAGGAACCTCCGCTCCTTCCGAGAAGAGAAAAGTTACTAAACAAACCTCAAATCGGAATACTACAGGTATAGCCTCTATCCCAAATTACTTTTCCCCTCACCTCTCTTACCGTCGTTTTGATCGACCGACCGATTCTCCATTCTAACTACATCGAGACCAGAAATCTAACTAAACTACCTTACTTTTTTCTGTTTCCGTCCTTCCTACCTTCTTCATCATCGCGATGGGCGCCCATCTTAGAAATGACCGCAACATCTCAGTTGAACAACAACAACGAGACCGCGAACGAAGAGAACAACTCTCGACCGACTCCGGAGCCGGAACTAGATTTGTTGGACTACAGCGAGGAGATGACTCGCGATATCAATTCAGTCCCGCCGCTGCAGAACGCATTCGGAAACTTAGGATCCAGTCTGCCTCAAATCAACGAGGACGACATGAGACCACAGGCGCAAGGAGCTCGGCCTTCGGAGTCAGGAATCTCACCGGCGTTGATCAACTCCAGAGCCACTTCCCTAGCCCTAGAGACTATGTCGAACCGATCGACTCCAGTACCGCGCCCGGTCGAACGCCAAACTTTCGCGGTCCATACGAGTACCGCGACAAACCTGACGATTCAATCTCCGACCCCTCGTCAGTTCAATCAGAACCCAATCCCTACGTTGAGCCCCTCGCCAGCTCCGACAGGTCAGGTCGACATAATAGTCGACAACCAGGACCTAGAGGTATTCATCAATTTATTCAACGACCAATGGCTGATGTTCATCCAAGCGAGGGACAACAACAACGTTCCCTTTATGCGAGCTGCCCTCACCCAAGCGATATCCAGCCAGGAAGTGATCAGAGATTTGGCGGGAGGCGAGGAAATGTTAAGGATCAGCGAGAATTGGATTGCGAGAGAAGAGCTAGCGGACTTGGAGAGATCCCAGCAAGCGAACCCCACGCCGCCGGTCCAACGCCTAGCTATAACTCAAAGAGCCCACTCCCACACCATCAGCCCATCACCAGCACCCCAGCCGCTCACACGCCAAGCTTCGGAAATAACCTACCTGGGTTCTGGCCAGCAACAGCTCCAAAATCAAACTACCTCCCAGAGACCTCCGACTGCGCACAGACAGCATCAAGATATCAGGACGCAATCGGCGCAAGGCAACCATTTGCCTCCACCCCCGCCACCGTCTACTCAACCCCCTCGAGCTTCAGAGCACTACAACCAACACCAACAGGTGCAGCATCATCCGTACTACCGTCAAGGAACCTTACAACACCATCAGCAGCCACCCCGTTTCGTCCAGAATTACGAGGCCCCCCAACAGGGGCAAGCAGCTCAGACTCACGCGCCGCCCCACCAACAGTTCCACCCCCCCCAGCAAAGAAACTGGAGAGGATACGGGAGGAACTGGAGAGCTCCTCAAGATCCGACAACGAGGCTGTTGCAAGTTGGAGAGTACCTGATGAGAGCGAAGGGAGTAGCCACAAGAGTTTTCCGCTTTCGTGGGAGGGGAAGAGGAAGGAATCAAGTCCAGCGAAGAGACTACCAGCAGGAAGAACAACGCCACTAGAGTCCCCTCATAGTTTTGATTTAGATGACTTATCTATCCCTTCTAATAAAGAATTCTTTCTCCAGAATATCAATCATGATCTGTCCAGAGATGTTCCTTTGTTAATAGAAGATAGATTAAAAGATTTGTTTTCAAATTTTCTATCTGATCTTTCTGGAACAGTAGACTCTATTCCCAGTACTCTGTTAGAATCTTGTCTAAGAAATTTCAATCTCTCTATGAAAAATTCCATTTCTAAGTTAATAAAAGAGGAAATTGTTCCTTCTTTAGTTGATAAAGTGATTGACAACCTGAGTGACAAAGTGAGAAAAGAACCAAGCAATCATCATTGCCCAAGCTATGTGGAAGAAGTGAAACTGTACATTGATAAAAAACTAGAAGACTTCCAAGATATTCTGTTTGTGAGAGACACAGAAAATGTTTCAAAATTTGAGGAAGTTAAGAAAGAGATGAGATCTTCTGAGGAAAGAACTGCCAACAATTTTCAATATATCTCCACCCAGATCAGTGAGTTTGATATAAGTGAAAATAACAGATTTGAACAACTAAAGAGAAGAATGGGAGACGTGTGCCAGACCACGTATGGTATCAATAACAAACTTGAGTCCATATTAGAGCCAGTAGATAGAGATCCTCCCCCACACCTGAGATTTAACAATCCTCTTTTAAATGTTCCATCTGAAGTAGCACCCCAACTTCCCCCAGAAGAAACTGAAGTCAAATGCCAACAATCCAAACATTCCCAGAATTTCCCAAACCCCACTGGGACCAATAAAGAAGACGAGGATCCTGCTTCTGTTATCCAGAAGAGGGAAAACCCCCTTTCCCTTTGGGGTGAAGAATTCCCTTTTATTGATCATGGTGACATAAGTTCAGACGTGAGAAACCAACTATGGAAAGGCATCCCCAAAACAAGTGAATGGGAAAAATTCTCCGGAGAACTCCCATACAACCATGAACTGTGGTTGAAAAACATTGATGTTTATGTACAAGATTACCTGATGACAGACGATATGGTAATAAGCAGACTGACCACCTTGTTCACCGATACTGCAAAAAATTGGTACATTGGAATAAGAGACACTCATGGGAGGAAATCATGGTCCTGGTGGAAGCACACCATTAGAAACAAGTTTGGCACTCATAATTGGAAGTGGAAGATGAGAATGGAATTTGAGAAAGACTACTTCACAGTAGATAACAGAAAGGTTCACAAATGGTTCAACAACCAAAGAGAAAGACTTCGAGCCTACCAACCTGAACTGAGTGAACCTCTAGTCTGTGAAAAACTCTTGAAGCAATGTCCTGGTTCTTTAGAGCATGCAGTAAAAAGCAGATGTAATAGGGCTACAGAAGATATGAACTTTGAGGAAATGGTCATAATTGTTGAAGAAATCCTTGACAGAGCTATGGGACAGTATAAAACAAAGTATACAAATAGCCCACAAACCAATAGGAATTCCTGGAGAAACAACAATCAGAGTACTAAAGTTGAAGCCAGCAAGAATGAACCTGACTCTAAAAGACCCCCTCCATCAAATCCTCAAGCTACAAAAGGGAAAGATGTTTGCCACTTCTGCAAACAACCAGGTCATTACACTAGGGAGTGCCCCAAAAAGAAGAACAGAATCAACAATGTAGGATTAGACCCCGAGGAGGAAGACAAAGAACAACCAGATAATTGTGAATTTGATTCTGGCAGCCAATATGATAAAGAGGAGGAACCTCAGAGTGAAAACCATATGATCCTAGCTTTGGAAAATGATGGTACATCAGATCCTTTAATTGATTTTAATTTTGACGAGTGTGCTGTAGAATGTGAATTTACCAATGACTTCTCTATTGCGGAAATCCAAGCTGAATCCCATCAACCTCAGACTTGGGACAAGAATTGCCGGACCTCCCATGTGGAAGATGCTAGACTTATGAGGTGTAAACCTGATAAAGGGAAAGCCCATTTAATAGGCAAATCAAACCTCACTAGTGTCCTGATCAATGGTGAAGAATTTTCTTGTCTACTAGACAGTGGCGCTTCTTGCTCTATAATTAGCCATACTCTTTTAGAATCCATCCTCCCTCAATGGAGAGAAAAACTGATGCCAATAAATCATGCTAGATTCCATAGCTGTAGTGATCAATTACAACCTTTAGGCATAGTGGAAATTCCTCTAATTTTTCCCCATACCAAAGGCTCAGTTAGAATTCAAACTGAATTTGTAGTCATGAAAAATGCAAGAATAAATTATTTCATACTAGGTAATGACTATATGTCCCTCTATGGTTTCGACATTACAAATAGTAAAGAAAGATTCTTTACCATTGGAAATGACAACAAAAGGAAGAAATTCAGTTTCAAAACTCACTCCAATGACAAGATGTTCCCTTCAACGGAAATTTCCTATGTCAGGAAACTGGAACCATTGCTGAGCAAGTTCATTACTGAAGAATTGTCAGACTGCATAATATATGACAAGTTGACTGTGGAGCAAAAAGAGAAGTTGTTTGAAGTGTTATACCAGAACAAACTTGCATTTGCCAATACAGATCAACCACTAGGAGCCATCAAAGGACATGAAGTGCATCTGACTCTCACCACTGAGAGACCTTACCCTCCTCTCCTTAGGAAACCTCCCTACCCTGCTAGCCCTAAAAGCAGAGAGGCCCTAGAGGAACACATAGAAGAATTGGTGAGACTGAATGTTCTCAGGAAGGTTGGCCACAATGAAGTAGTAGAAATCACCACACCCGTGATTATTGCATGGCATAATGGTAAGTCCAGAATGGTAGGTGACTTCAGGTCTTTGAACTCTTACACGGCAGCAGACAGGTACCCCATACCCAAGATCAGTGAGACCCTCAATAACCTAGCCAAAGCCAAGTTTCTGACTAGCATGGATGTCCTGAAGGGTTTCCACCAGAATGTGATAGCAGAAGATTCTAGACACCTCTTAAGAATTATCCTGCATAAAGGCATTTATGAATATCTAAGAATGCCTTTTGGTATCAAGAATGCCCCGTCACACTTTCAGCGGATGATGGATATTGAATTCAGAAAAGAGCTGGATGAGAAATGGGTAAAGATATATATTGACGATATCATCATTATGTCCAACACTTGGGAAGAACATCTGGTTAGAATCAGCAGAATCTTAAAAATAGTGATCAAGATGAATATGAAGATTTCCCTCAAGAAATGCAATTTTGGTTTCCATCAAATCAAGGCTTTGGGACACGTAGTCTCTGGAATAGCAATTGGAATAGATCAAAATAAGGTTGCAGCTGTCCTCCAGAAACCTGTCCCCAGCAATAAAAAAGAAGTCCAATCCTTCTTGGGCTTTGCCGGTTATCACAGACAACACATTAAAGATTTTGCTGACATGCAAGACGTGACTCTTACACTTTTTTTTTCTCGAACCTATCATTTGATGACAACTCGTTCCCAAGCGGAAACCCTTCTCCCTTTAACTGATCCGGAAGCAATCCTAAAGAACAGTCGACGTCAAAAGAGGTTGGAAGCGGCCGCTACTATACAACACGACGCAGACGACCAGAGCAACCTCTTCAATCTTCCAGCACTTCCACCTTCTCCAACAATGTCGGAAGCGCCAGAAACCTCCAACACCATTGATCCTTCTAAGAATAATGCCAACACAACCGGGACTTCTTTGACGTTGGATGATTACCTCAAAGGAATTTTGAAACTACAACATCAAAGCATCGATCAAGCTAACGTCGATCGTGGTACGATCATGGAAAGCCTGAAATGTGAACGCGAGCTTCGACAAGCCAACGCGCATCGAATCGCGAAGCTAGAGGAAATGGTTCTCCGCTTAGCAATCAAAA